TCACATGTCAAATTTAAGAACATTTATATTTCATATTATATTTGTGGTCATCACCATGTTAAGGTTAAGGGGAAAATTTCCCCTTCACTGATACACGATTTGCCTTTTGTATATTTTGCACGCGAATCTTATGCGTAAGAACGATAATGGAATGACAAAAAGCTCCCTACACTTTGGCCAAATAATCTTCGACTCCCAAAGGGAACCTACCCTTAATAATTTACGTTCTCATCGTTTCGTAATCTTATACAAGGCGTAAATTTTAATAATGGAGTAGGGAACACAGCTTAATATTTTCATTTGTATTATGTCGGCAGTTTGAAATTCAGAAGAGTATACACTCTCAGAACACTTAGTGTGAATTTGTGGTAAAATGTTCTAGTAATTATATTTATTATTTGTCTTATCAATATCTAATCATGATTTAAATAGATATTTGATTAGAGGTTAGTATAACCTTAGCTTTATCATACTTCCTTCTTCTTTCTATTTTCTTTCTTAATTCTTCAGTCCATTCGCTTGGCGCAGCGTTAACCAAACTTATTTCGCACGTGGACCTATTTTACACAAGAGAAACAATCACGAGCCCCATGTGAATTAACTTCTGTGATAACCGTATTATTTTTGCTCACCCTATTCGCATAGGGGATCGTATGGACAGGCAACCTTGAGGAATCAGGTTGAAATATCCGCTATTGGACCTCCATTCAACCCTCGCGACACATTGCTCATAATGCTTATAAAAAAGCACTTGTTACGTCGGACAAATATGATCGGCATGTTAGGGGGAGCCATCGCGGTGGTCGTGTTCTCCATTCGATGCATTGACTTTTTTGTTTATGTGAGAAGGTGGCAAGCGAACCGACGGTTCAACTTTTGTTAAGTGATAACTGCCGCCCATTGAAATTTGCAACACCCGTAGGTTGCAGATGTGTTGCCATCCTATACCAAAATGGGCATGGGCTACTTCACTCAGCAGACGAAACGCAGAAGCGTAACGCTTTCGCGGGCGGACCCGCTCATTCGTGCAACCGGAGATACTGTTGCGTGCTCCTACCAGTTAAATAACACTATTACTGATAGTACAACATATTTCTATCGTTACGTTGTTAAGGGCCATATGTTACTAAACGACTAAAATTGCGTAAAATGCTATGCATCGTTACATTAACAGAACTCCCATGCATCGTATCCACTGGAATGATATAAGCCAGTTGACAAGACGCATCATGTTTAAACTACCTTTTTTGACATTTACCTATAATTCCCAGTTTTAAACGTTATCAATGCATTTGATGTCTTTGTCACAAACAAAGAGTATTGGCACAGTGGATAAAATTTTTAATTATTTTTCTTTTGTTATGCTAAAGGACGCTAACTTCTTACGTGCGTACATAAGTACACACATATTTTTTATATACCTAACATAAAAACGAAGAGTCAAATAAATAAACTTTAAGTAACAAAAGGAAAATGAAAATTGGTCGGAGAGAGGGCTATAGCAATAGAGAATAGCAGTCCCAACATGTTGCTGCTGACTGCATTGGGCAGGGGCCGAAGGGCGCTTTCACTGTGATCCCTCTTGTTGCGTTTGAATTAATCTCTTCCAACGAGGGGCACAACTGATTGGTATCGTTCCACAATACCTCCAATTGGTGTTGCTTCCGACAGACTTCTATGGGGGAGATTTTGGAATGAACAGATTGAAACATAATTTTATAAATTGGATATAAAATCGAATGACTTGGTACGCGCAGTTGCTAAGTCACCGACTGCGGTCCGCGACTCTCGCTGGTTCTATTTAAACATAGAAAAGTATAAAACATATTGTTCTGATATTGTTCCTGGGTGTTAGCCCATGTGAAATTTGGAAAAGAATAATAAAATAAGTGAAATGATATGAATATAGCAATATAAAATTATCGTTCAACACATGAGCTGGTTGAGCAATCATTACTTTTTGTTCAGCAATAGGCAATATTATCCTGCAACTCCGGCCGCATCAAGTTGGATCCGCCGCCTCTTTGTCGCTGGCCATTGCCACTTCGCATTCTAGCCCAGGTACAGCTGATATTTCTATTTGTGTTCATATAACGGGTACTAGCACGTTATGTGCAGTGTGAGTTTTGAAACGTCCACAGAAATCAAACAGCAAGATAACATCAATGCACCGCGACGCATTGTCAAAGAGCGCTCGCGTAAGCCGAAAGAGCTTAATGCGAGATTATGTCGAGGCGTCCGAATGAGAGGCGCCGCGGCGCTTCTCTCTCCGCGTCGAATCAGCCCTTTACTCGCTGAAAGCCGCTTAAATGTTTACTAGTCATCCATTGAGCCTTTGCGTTTTGCAAGCCATAGAAAAATTATGAAAGTCTTTCTCAGCGATGCAAATGGGAGGTACCGGGAAAATATGAGGTTATGATTGTTCTACCCATTTGTCTAATATATATAAAATATTTTTTATGGAGAAAAGGGGCAAACGAGCAGGAGGCTCACCTGATGGTAAGCGATCACAGCCGCCCATGGACACCTGCAACACCCGAGGGCTCACAAATGCGTTGCCGGCCTTTTAAGAAAGAGTATGCTCTCTTTTTGAAGGTTCCCAGGTCATAACGGTTCGGAAAGACCGCCGGCGGCAGTTGGTACCACAGAATGGTTGTGCCAGGCAAGAAATGCCTAAAGATCGCGCTGTTGTGGAACGTTGGACATCGAGGTGTGGATGAAATTTTTGGTTCTGGCGCGATGTCCGATGGTGGAATTCAGCCGCCGGGATCAATCCAAACAATTCCTCAGAACACTCCCCGTGATAAATGCGGTATAAGATGCAAGAATTTACAATCATTTAAAACAAATTAATTATAATGGCTATTGAAGAGTTTAACGTGACTTTACAACGAACAGTGCGAAAATCCCTAAGATCTGAAATTCCATTTTTCAGGTTGTAGTTTAACGCAAACACGTTTCTGTATTTGTTGTAAGCACTAGATTACCGATTTCGGCGCTGTGTCAGTCCGTTATCGGTGCGGGAATTTCCATGCGTTATACATTTGCTTTTTTCCCTCCGCCGATGCTGCGAGCAATGAATGAAGGTAGTGGTCACGTACACCTTTCGTAACTTTTCAGTCGACGACGGTGCCCTGTGATTAGCCTTTCACATTAGAAATTAAGTCCGTGCAACACGTTACAATTTGGTATCCGCTTTTAGCATTTTTAAGTATAAAATCAATATAACATGATAACTTTCTGTTCAATGTACAGCGTAACCCATCTATAACGATTGTGATTAATAATTAGATTGGCGGATAACATTAGGTTAAGTCAAACAGCTGATTAGCGACCGCCAGGACGGCTTTCGTCGAGGTCGCTCAGCCGGTGGTCCTCTAGTTTACCTGACACACAGATGGGCAGAAGCAGTTGAGAGCAAGGGGGAGGATCTTACAGCCAGTCTGGACATAGCGAAGGCCTTTGATCGAGTATGGCACAAAGCACTTCTTTCGAAGCTCACCGGATCACCAGCTTTTTGGCCGATCAGAGAATCAAGGATTTTTATTTTAAAGAATTTTTATTGGAAATGGTCTTTCAAGTTCTATACGTATATAGTGAAGGCAGAGGTTCCGCTAGTTAAGAGTTTACTCCCTCTATAGACTATTCGATCGACTCCTTTCTCTAAAACACCAAATCCACCGGATTTGTTCTCCGAAAGGCGAACGAAATACGTCTCGCCGCTTCCACTCCGCCTGTGCTGTGAGTGATATTGTATTAGAGCCGAGGGAAGGGAGATTAAAAATATTTTCCATTTGTTGCGGTATATTGTGTTACATGGGCGCGGAGTGCTGCCTAATCTCATACATATACTCGTACGTTTACCTCAGATGTATGGCTTTGCAGCGGGACTGAGAGTTATTTGAACGGCAAAAGTCGCGTCTCCTTTTTTATTCGCATACACCGTCTGCATTTCGTTTCTGTGTGTCAGGTTTCATAGAGAAATATGAGTGTAGTTAAATATAAGGTTTATTAAAATAATTATTATGAAAAGTTGTTTTAAGAATTTTCGTAATTTGGTGATTTAAGAGTTTACGTCTGCCGTCAGTTAGCAGTCTTACCAACCGGTGCATGTGAAAATTAGCCATACCTGAGGTCTTTGTTAGCCAAAACGTATTAGTCGAAGTCAGATAAGGGGAGTAGGCGCGTCGGGCGTGGGAATAGCGCATGCAGCGAGCAGAGGAGGGCCCCCGTGGGGCGCGACACTTGAGCCAGCGAGACAATTATTGCTCACTTGCGAACAATTACGGACAGCTGGCGAGCCTTCTTTTCCTCCACGAGCCGAGGTGTTGGGAAAAACGCAAATCTCGCAATCACAAATCTCCATCTAAATGTGCGCAAGAAGTTTTGTTTACCCTTTTCTCTATTCTGTGCAGTAACATTGCAGGTCAAACGTAACATACACGTTTGAACCAATGCTGTATTTTCTAACAGGTCTGCATAATATGATCCGCAGATGAATGCATGGAAACAAATGTGCTTAAACCGAACGAGCTAACATTATGGGGAATGTCGAAACATAAAGCTCATTCACAACTCCTCGTGGCTCACCGACGAGCGTCATACTCACTCACTCATCGCTACACGCACACTCGTGCACTCTCCGTCGTGTCTACATGTTCATACATGCGTACACGTGCAAAGAGCCTGTTTACATGTATGGTTCATATTGGCCTGTTCTACATTCCTTGTGGCCAACGCGGGCAATTAGCTTTAATAAAAGTTTAAACCAATGGCATTCCAATAGTAAAGTCGTCCCGCTCCGTGACAGGGCGCTAGTGGTAAGTTGAATGTGGCAGTTTGTTTGCGAATTTAAACTAAAAAACTAAACGAATTTTATAATTTTCATTTGGAGCTATATAACTTGAAGTAGCGAACTTTTGTTTCATTAATTCAAAATCTCTCCAATTCGTTAATGGGTTCTATGACCGCGCTCTGAGCGGCTTTGTAACTTAAGTGGGATGGGGTGGCGTCGGGGCGATGGGGGGAGGGGGGAAGCCACGACTAACATACGCGTGTGCGTGTGGTGCGCTCACGCACACCGGCGCACCGCCCTTCGGCCGGCAGCAGCTGGGCCGCGTCTGAGTGTTGCTGTTATGCACACAATATTTTGTTTCTTTCCGCGGAACGCAGCGGTCGGAGTGCAGCCGTACAGGTGCATCGGGCGGCCAGGTGGCTCCTGTTACCCGACCAGCCAACGAGGACGCTCAGAAGCCGTACGAGGTGGAGTTACGTTTTGCAAAGAGCTTTGCTCTTAATTGATTTATTCCTCTTGGCCGTTCAATGTATAAAGGTAAGTTATGGTTTCTAAGTGTGTTCTCCGTGATCTTGTGAATTATCTTGCACACGGTAATGTGATATAAAGATGATGGATGGATGATCCATAAACATGTATGTGAGAAGATACACGAAATTAATTTAAGTAGGACCAAAAGCGACAAACGACAAACATACATTATATATCCAGGTCGGGTGAATAAAAAGGGCGTCCCCGGCGACGCGTCAATGTCACATTGACAGCTTTTCTGGCTCATCCGTCGCAAAGCGCACGCACGGGCCGTTGGGTTGGGAGTGAGCCCTACGAAATGGTCCCCTTTTGGCCGTCGGCGGAGCGAATGCGATGCGCACTGACGGAGACATTCTGTCAAATAATTCAGAAGTTCGGATTTCCGACGACAGTTGACTTCTGAGAACGCATTCTCTCATTCACATTTATTACAGTCAATATAAATGAATAGGCGAGTGTTGTTCATGCTCGTAGCATGGGAGATATTGGGAGCGTGCGGAGCTAATGCCCAAAGGGATTCTCTACCAGTAAACGCAGAAATGTGTTGAGAGCTTGGATTATAGGTGCAGCAAGAGATGGTGCAGAAGTTATAAAATTTTAAATAATAAATACAAGACATAGATATAGTATAATTATAATAAATAAAAACAAATAATTATGCAACAAATCACGATTAAAATAATGAATGTAGTATATGGTATACATGAAATTATTTTTTATATATACCATACTGAATTTAATTCCAGGCGTTTTGAAGCCTTTACAGAGTCCGTGGTAAAAGACTGTATGGACCCTAACCATGGACCATGGAAATTATGTGTAGTATTCGCGAAAAGACAAGAAATCATTTACTTTTGATGTTTGATTTTTTTCTACAATTATTTATTAGCTTTCTGTACATTTTCGACCATATTTAATAATTTAGGCGTTATAGTGCAACAATAATTAAATAATGCGCATGGAAGTGTTTGCTGTATAGTGTAGTTTCACTGTTGCAGTCCAGGGCCACGCAACTGTCTAAGCTGTTGCCCAAGGGCAAGCTTGTCCATGGCCACGGCCTGGACCAGGTGACGGTCCAAGCCTGTTGAGTGAGGTAACCGGGGCCCACTTGTATATGTATATAGCAAAGTCTGTCAATTGTTTAGGAAATCTTATCTCCTCGATGTTAAATTTGCCGCTTAGAACAAATGAATGATTATAGACGCGAGTCGAACCACGTGGATCTGAGCGAGTTGGATGGCAAATGGAGCCCTGCAAAAGGGTCCATTAGACATTCCCCAGCGGCATTCAATCGAGGAAGGGTGGCGAGTACAATGGGACGGTTGAGGGCATTTCGGAGGGCCTTAAAAATTTACGAGAAAGTAGCTCAATTCGACTTGGCGGACGGGCCCCTTCATTCATTCCATGCTGCAGTCAATGAATACTAGAAGGGCATTACGCGATCCAATGTATGGGGCTAGGGTCGAGCTAACCCCCGCCCGGATGAATGGTAACGGAATTTAGGCGGTCGGTAATCTTGCCCCCTTTGGTACCTTACTCACAAAGGGGTGGTCAAATAAGTATAGTGGTACCCAATTAGTCTCTTAGCACTAATTATAAGCAAACGATATTTTTCAATTGAATTGAGTCCCTTTTTCTTTGTTTAGTTGCTACGTTGAGGTGCCAGACCAGTTCCATTGCTTCCCTATGCACCGTTAGCTTCAAGGTTTCCTTTACGTTACTCCGTACCAAAAATTAAATAAATTTTACACGTCGTCGGTATTGAAGATGAAATAGATCAGATATGGTAAAAGTATACCCTAAAGCCAAATGTTACCATTAGGCAGCTGTCGAATATATGATAAATATAGCACAAAGGACCTGTTTGCTTACCTTTACGTAAGCGATACCGTTTCTCCACTCCTTTGATCTGCATAGTCGGATAGAAAAGAGTATTGTTTACTTCTAAAACAAGTTATTGGGAAACGTTTCACCTATTTCTAAATTTATCCCTTTTTTAGAAACCTACATCGACACAATCGACAAATTTATAATTGTTATCCAGAAATTTACTTCAAATGTAAATGAAATGTCTGTAATCAATGTTTACATATATATATTATTAGCATATTATACGCCCTGTGACTAACACCAAGCAGTTGATTACATGTGATAAAAGTGTAATATCGTTATAAAATTATACAAAATGTGTTATTTATCAGATGATTACGGTGAGTAATTTTTGTGTTTAAGAAAAATACGACGCGCTCCTGCAGTAATTAAATGCTCGCAAATCGTTTCTTCAAAGTTATGTGGGTCTAGTAAGTCGGTTTGGTTTCATTGAAGCTTGTAGTAACACGTGAGTTATGCGCTTTCGTAAACAAAGTGCGCGCGCGCTGGCTGCGAGCTGCGGGGTCGTTGACCCGCGGGCGGCTCCGAGTCCGCGGGATTAGGAGGCCGGACATTTCACACTCGTCCAGTGTATATTTGATTTTCTATATTTAAGCGGCTTCACCGCACGGAAATGGGATTGTTGTTCTTCGATTCGGAACGGTTACACTGAGCTGAAGGATTTTCGACCAATTTGGAAGGACACTAATGGAGGTGAGGTCGAATTATTGGCATAAAGGCTCGAGCAGGTAGGTGTGAAGGTTTGACGTCACTGAATGTGGGCTTTATGAAAGCTTTTAGGCTAAGTCGTAAGCGGGGCGATACGGAGATTAAGTTGTTTTAGCGTGGGAGCGCTTCGTTCCATTTTAATAATTTTGCATATAAAACGTCTAGATGTGGCTAAATCTTGCCACGAAGGAGTAAAACATGCCTCTTGATACATCATATCTATAAAAGCGAGCCTTCCAGTAGTCGCATGTAACGTGTAACATCTGACACTTCACGATCATTAGAGTAAAATTGGAATTTTTAATATTTAAGAAGTTATAAACTTCAAAGCAAAGATACGTCAGTTCAGCAGCGACAGAATTTATCTTTAAACTTTGAAAAGGCTAAATACTGAAATATTTACTAGAATAATAATTATTCATTATTGCTCATTTCATACACATATTATCAACAGTGAATTCTTTGTTTATTGTATATTAATTTATACACAACACTGTAGTTTAAGCGCACAGCTGATGGTTGGCAGCACTAAACTCTCGGAGAATGGTTTTGTTAACACCTGACGGCCAACTCGAGCAGCGCGCGCGATTCCCCGACCTCCTGTTTAAAAACACACACACCAATTTAAGAAATCATTTTCACAGATTGCACGAAGGCAAGATGTGAGCGAAAGACGCGTGAAATCCACAATGAATAGAAACATATGAAAGTGATAATGCCTCTGGGGTACAAATAATCGCGAGGCAGAATGATATTCGCTTGGTCCGGCGTGTTTGTTCGGGCCCAAACTTTTGTTAGCTTGCTGAGTCCGCGCGATGAGTTTACGGCCTGAGCTCAGCTCAACGTTCATTATTTTAATCGGGGCCAAGCTCTACTAAACGTTAGCGTCACCGAAGCTACATTTAGCTAGGCTTTTATACATAATTATACTGCTTGAATGCAAAGAAATATGTCTATGTTTGCTTTTTATTGACAAAGTTTTACACTAAGAATGTGTGATGGAATCCTTACGCGCCCAACATAAGAATTAGAGCAAATCAACTCTTATGTGAATTGACATGGAAATTAAGTAGAAACGGTTCCCTTACAATTGTGCTTTAGCATTACAGGTCGCTTTGATCGGAATCATCTATATAATGGCGTTGTCTGCGAAACAGAGAGGGTCGCGTCGGGGTTAACTAGAGGGAGGGCGCGGTTGCGGCGTCTCGGAGTGCTTAACAAATCATTGAGTGAGTGGCATTGCCGATGTTTTTGATTTTTAGTTTGACCCATGTCATCCCTTAATGTTGCTACGAGGAAGTAAAACTTTATGAATGCTCTATACCTACGTAAAATAAGATAGATGAAAGCTGCATTTAGAGGTAACGTTGTTCAACTGGACAGCGGCCTCACGCCAAAGGCTTTCCACATAAAACTGCTCCAGTTCGGAAATCTTGAATCGGAGACTGTTGGGTCCAACAATATATCACAGTGTTGCAGTCGTAAACACTTTAAAGGCCGATCGCGGCTTGTGGATGGTGGCTCGTAAAACTTCCCCCTACTTCGAACTTACGCTTGTAAGCTCAATTGGTGAAGGGGCTGCATTCATGCTGTGCTCGATGATTTTGTTAGGTTTACGTGAGACTATGAATCATTAATACAAAATAAAAATCATTTGACCTATTAAATAAACTATCTATATTCACCAGATCTCGTCCCAGTTAGGAGAACATTATCTTATTTATGCACGAACTTAAAGCTCAAGACTGCAATTTGAACGAAGCAGCACACTCAAAAGTGTTATCATTGAAATGAAACGGGGGATTTACCACATTCATTAAAATAAATTACAACTTTGATGATGAGGTTAATTTATGCGCTAAAGTGTGTTAGTTGGGTACTCGGTTAGTTAAGCAGTTAACGAAGAACGTAATTAAACAGTCGTGCAAACAGCTGATCGGCCTCGCGTCGTGAACGGTTACCCACATTACTTATCCTCAGTAGCTTCGAGCAACGTTCTATTGGAGCAGTAATTAAGTTTGCTTTCGTTTCAGTAGCAATTCCGTTTGTGTTCGAGACTATTTATCTCGTTTAATGAATTAAGGCGCCTAGTCTCTAATAACAGAATTGGCAATTTGTTTTTAAAAACGTGAAACATCATTCGCGTGCTGAGTTTTTATACGTTTTTTCATATGTGGGTCAGTGTCGTTCACCGATTTCTGCTAAACGCACCCTGTGCCATGTGTGTGTACACCAGTGCACACACACATGGCAAACTTCGAAGCAGTATCTCAAGTAGGCCGGTCCACTATTCGTGTGGTAAATGTTACGTTTAGAATGGTTTCATACATAAACGAACGGTAGTAGTCGATCGTGAGTATAGTTAGAATATGTTTAGACCAGATAATGTGTTATAGACTAACAGCGAAATGAGCCGTTAACCTTATAATCATAACAAGGAAAAGGAAAACATGTTAAAGTTTTTCACTATAGAGACACAAGATGACAAAACCCTGCAACGGCTTCATAGAAGACCGGTGTGAAATCATACATCTGAGTTTCGTCTGGTGAGTGAGGTAGCAGGGGCCCACTTTATTGAAGGGTGATAACGCACCTGTAATCCTGCGGGTATTGCAAATGTCCGGGGTGGCGGTTATCATTTATCATCAGGTGAACTGTCAGCTCACTTACCACCTTCACACATATAATAAAAATGGGGGCCCCAATTAAATATTATATAAAAGGAAATATATTAAACTAATAAATAATATCAACCATTCACAATTGTGTTGATTATAATTGTATAATAAATGAAGTAATAGAGTTGTCTAGCTAATGGAAATGGATCGATAGCTAGAGTTTAAACAGATCGGTTCATCGGAAACTCGGCACGATCGAGTTTAACAGCCATTGTTTACTAATGATCATTAATTTACGATCGTAAATTAGACCACATATTAAATGGAGGATTCAAACAGCGGCAGCCATTCCGATGTGCACTGACCGTTTCTAGAATATAGGTTACTGATTTTTTTTACTTTCGTTTATAAATTAAAAAAAATGTTTGAGTTAAAGCGAGTAATAAAGTCAATTATCAATGTAGCTATTTTAATTCAACATTAAAACTATCAATTAGAGTCTTCATTAATACTTGTAATAAGACAGTAAAAAAAAGGCGCAGCACAGCCCTGATTTTATAGTACCTACCTACCTTTTATGCCTCTACCTCTTGTATACGACGATATTTGATAATACTCTATGTACACTTGTTTGAGAAAAACTCTCGGTGGAAGCAGAGCAAATGTTTTACTGCCTGCAATTACGTGGAGATAAGGAAGGGCATTGTGCGGGTACGCTTTGTGGAAGCCACCGCACGCCCTCACCCACAATGGACATTTTTGTATATCCGATAAAAGGCGTGTGTTTTGTTACAATAGTCCGTTGCAGTGAGGGAAATTACTTGCCTCCTTCTCTAACATTGTCTTTTTAAGATTAATAATTTTCGCTTCAAAGAATAACTGCGACGCCATTGTTGGACGAGTAATTTATGCTATACTAAAAAATATTAAAATGGTCGGTCTAGCTCGCTAGAAGTGCCTTTCTGGAAATATTTTTGATCCTTAAACCTCTCCTGCCTAAATATATTGAATTGTATGCCATAATTGGCGATAGCTAAATGCAACTGAGCGTAGAAAACTTTGAAAAGGCTTTTTATGCTGTGAGATATTAAATTATATTAAGGATCAGTATGTGTGTGTAAACGACTTTTATTCTGCACTGGCTTTATCCACTTTTTTCTTAAAGGTTGACGCTTCTTCTATATTTAGGTCGAAGTTTTTATGCCGACCGGAGCTTTTAAACATATATTTATTTGGTCTTTATTGAATTTCCTTGAATTCGGAATACAAAAAGGCAGACTTAATGCCTTTCAGCATTCTCTGCCAGTCAACATATGGTGTGGTGAGATCCTTTTTCTGGTGCAGTAATAAAACTTAGACTACTAAAGTTAGAAATTAACCAAAAAATAACATAAATACTTTCTATTGTATCTGTACAAAAAACATATGCCATGAACTATTTATAAATATAAATATATTTTCATATTTAAGTATATAGGTATATATCAATTGATAACGTTAAGATAATTTCCCTTCCGCACTCGTCATATTATTCGCATCGCGCCTATTGCGCCAACAGATGAATGCATAAAGCGATTACGGGAGGCCAGGCCGCTGCGTCTTATGCAATGGTCTTCAAATTACTTGGTCCATATGTTAATAAGCAATTTATTTTAAAATAAACATATCTATTTTATTGGCTCTTATAATTTGTTGAAGGGACACTACACTGGACTGAAAAAATTACGCATCGCAGAAAAATCGCGATACATCCCAAAGTTGCTTATAGTAATCATCCATAAAGTGCTAGTAATAATATAAGTAACGATTTTTACTCAATATACGTTTTTTGGAACGAAGTTCCTTACGGCAGGCTTGGAGGGGACAGGGATTTTGCTGCGCGACCGAAATGAAAAAAAAATGTGATAGTAAAAACCGTAAGAAAAAATACGTGGAAAAAAGGGCGTTGAATAAAACCGTTAAATGAGACGTGCGCAGGCGCGACAGTCGCATACACAAGCGAGTAGTGTATAATTTTGTTATTTTAGTTGATAATTTGAATTACGATGTTTTTTTATTTTAAGTAATTTATTATTTCCTAAATACTTTCTTGTACTTAAATAAATACTTTCTTGTACTTAAATAAAAACTAATCAGCAAAATTTAAGAGAAAAATCAAGAAAACCTACATAAAATTGAGCACGATTTATTTTGCAATTTGTGTCGATTCTACATTAGCCGAAGGAACTTCGTTCCTACCTGGTGTCCCACGACACCATTAATTTTTTTTTTGTTAGATGTGACACTAAAGACACTACGTTACAAATACATATTCTATACTATGCCGAACAGTGGTACAAATGTTGTCTTAAGAGGTTACGAGTGTGGATGTATACAAATATATGTACATATTTTAGCATGTAAATTTATTTTATCTTTGTATGAACGAAGATTAGGCGGAATGTGCCTGCAAAGCCTGAATTAAGTTACAATTTTTAAGGCACGTTAACAACACTGCAAATCGTTCACTGAACACTATATATCAGTACGGTTGAGAAATGAACACCGTCAAAATAATTTTCGTGTACAAATCACTTACATTTGTAGCTCATTCATTAATGCGAAAGTTGCGTGTACCTGCAACAAAACGAAGGGGAAATTAGTAAAACTACTTCACTTAATAAATATTACGTAAAAGTATCTGATTTATGATGAAGTTCGTAAAAGTATACAAAAGAAATACACCCGCGCCAGGCTGGCGAGACATTACGCCATAGACGTAATTGCTTCAATTACAGAGCGAGGCAGCATCTCCTTTTCAAACTAATCATAAAACCACTATGAGGTACCATCTAGCTAGACATTAAAGGCCGCTTCCCACTGTTCGCGTCACGCACGGGCGATTGTCGACGATTGTGACGTGCCACGAGTGGGCTTCAACTTCAAACGCTAACCTTGTACGAGTGCAATATATGATACCGTTTCGTTTAGAATTCCGTAGTAGGGGATCGTTAAGACGACGTATCAAAGTGTGAGTACGAGCGGCGATATTCCGCTCGGGAAGCGTTCAACTGCGGCGCTAAATCAGTCGGGATGTAAACACGGGAACCCAGACATGCGTGGCGGCACGCGCCTCATGAATATAGAGTCAATGGTGGACGGGCTTGAACCGACGCCCGACCGCGGACGTCTGTTTATTATTAGAGCCTGTGCCGGAGGGGGGGGGGGGGGGGGCGGTGGCTGCAAGAGAGCCCCACGTACACCTTGCCCGATTTCACCGCCGCACGCATCTGAAACTTTATATTACATCGCAGTAATGAGTAGCCATCATTCGGCCAGGGTCGTTCTGTCGGGTGAAATATTTGAACAGATCCTTGATTTATGACTCGTTGAATCTATATTTGATACGCTCTACTCATGTTTAGGTACCGAGGCCCACTTAATTGAAAGGCGGACCTTCGTGTGTATTGCAATGTCCATGGGCGGTGGATATCACTTAACATTATTTTATATTTCGCTAGTAACTACTAAATTTGCCCAAAATAACCCCATTACAACTTATTTTTACGCCATTTCGTTACCTTTCACCTTTTTTTAATATAAAAAAAATTAATGTTAACAGGTTTATACCCTATATACGAGTCGGGGAAAAAAGTTTATTGTATTCAAAAAACCGTTAAGTTTTCAGAGTAATCGATTTCAGGAGACATCATTAATATAAGAGATTCTAAAAATCAAACTTATAGTTGTATCTTAAAAGTTCAACTATACTGCATTGCAAGGTTAAATTAATATTCGGTATGTAAACTCAAGAAGCCAATCACAACGTATTCACAACATTTGATTTTAAGATTTAAGTTTGAAAGATGCAATGGCAGAAGCCCATATCGGTTTCTTAATCGCCAATGTGACCATTAAAAAAACGATAAAACAATGTGGAACATCCATAAGCCATTTAAGCGGCGGCTGCCCTCGTGCAGCGAGCGGAGGAGGGCGACGCGCGCCCGACAGCTGGCGTCGTCTCGGATAACAATAAAATCTAATGGAGGCTCATCTCTCTTGCGCTCTGTTGGCTCACGCCGCCTAGGCCCACTCACTTTCGCTGTCGGTGCAAAGTTTCGCGCTTGAGTGCTCACTCCGAGCAGGCACTATTAAGGGTGCATTACAACCTAAAGTACAAATATACCAAAAAGCTAGGTTCATTTTACATGGGGACATTGAAGGAACATAAATACATAAGCTATGAAGTTTTATTTGAGACATGTCTGCCAATAGGATTTGTCAGTTTCTTAAATTAAAGCCGTAATATATTTTTGTTTACCCGTAATCATCTCAATATGTACAAAAGTAAGTCTAAGTTTCAATGTAATCGATTTTAAGATTTCATTCGGAAATTAAAAAGTATTAGGTAGATATGCATATAAAGATTTGGGTTGACTTGAGCATAGCGATTTCCCCATAGCAGCGTCGGTTCACTCGCAATCCACCTCCGAACGCCTCATGCGCGGCCCAGGGGCGGCCCAGGGGCGGCCCAGGGGCGGCCCAGGGGCGGCCCAGGGGCGGCGGGTGATGGCGCCCATTAACGCCACCGTGTGGAAAATTACACGCGCGCCTATTACAATGGAAAAATCCGAGCGCCATTAGGGGCCGCCGGGAAATAGCACTTTCCGATGTGGCAGCAGGGCACCGTCTCCTCGCTCGGGCGCCTCTTTGTGAGCCAGCGGCGTGTGGCACGTGGGACGAGCGCTGATTGCACGGTTATCGATTCCCATTACTCCTACATCCGCTGCCTATGGAATGGTGAGCGTTAGAACACGCGCGGAGAAGCAAATATTGTTGCTATTAAAAATGTCCTGTGTTGAGACAGCTGGATGTAGAGCAGGTGTGTAGGAGTAGAAATAAGTTATTGGTGCTTAGTTTCTACAATATTTTTAGTCGATCTTTGATGTACGGCTTTCACTTATCTTTGCGGCTGTTATTTTTTTATGTGAAAACAGTAGCAAACGAGCCGGCGGTTCACCTGATGTTAAGTGATATCCGCCACCCATGAACATTTGATACACCCGTGGGATTGCAAATGCGTTGTTGCAATGCGTACCTTTAAATGAAGTGGGCCCCACCTACCTCAGCCACCAGACGAAACGCAGGAGTGTAACACTTCCACTTGACGCCGGTCTTCTGTGAGGTCGTGGTACTTACTCGGACGGACCTGCCCATTCGTGCAACAGTGAATAGTGTTGCGTGGCCCTACCACAGTAAAGCGTAGGATGTAAGACGATCTATATTTTTGAAGGATTTTCTTTTATTTTTAGGAATTTTATTTTAAGGAAGTGTATTCCGTTTTTTCACAAACTCAGCTGCTATGTTTCTATTCTTTGAATACTTGGCTTACTGTTCACCAACGAAAGGCGTTTTATTGACAGCATCATCAAATTCGATGCTTCGAGGTCGCCGGCCAATTTGTTGCCCGCCGAGAGCCGCCGTCCTTTTATTTAACAGGTTGCCGGGTACGTGCCGAAATTCGAAAAGTCACAGTGCATGTCAAATAAAAGAAACACCGTACATTATCTTTCTCTAGAAGGAAGGGGCTCTGTAGAATGCGATTTGGTAAGAATATACGTATACATAATTAAATTTTCTTAAAATAGGCACAGCAGATTGGATCCCTTTATTTACGATTCTTATTAAAAAAAAATGAAGCAGATGTCCGACGCCATTGCGCTTCATGGACAAACACTTAGCCCTCATGCTGTTTTCAAGAATTCGTCGTCACTTAATGCAGAAGGTACGCCACGACTCCGCTCTCTTGCGTAATCGAGAGTACCTACCTGCTCTCAATCAATTAATTATTAAGTATACTTTAGTAACATGATGATAGTGTACCCGCAATGTTACTTAAGTACACTTATTAAACGTTGTAAAAATATTTGCAGGGGTTTTTACATTCTATAAACACTTAGGCAGAAACTATTAAGAACCTTTTTAGAAATAAATAAATGATAATAAAATTTCGGCCTATTACATGTCTCACGAATCTTTTAAAAATACCAGTTCCCTTCATTACTTTTATGATTCTTATGGTCTTAACAGCTAATGTAATCCGGTGCAGTATTTAAAAAAATATTATTCTCCATGTTATTTTTCAAACTGTTTACGACTTCTTAAATTTATGCAAATAGGTACATTTTGATAAAAATAAATTTATGGCTTTTGCAGAAGTTTGATTTTTTAAATGTTAACTCCTGACGTTTCGTATAAACCGAGATAAAATTGTGAGTTTATTAAAAGTTTAAACCACTACTATTACGCGTTTAAAGTCACTAAAGCAGCAACTTTGACTCGTGTGCGTTAAGCGTCGAGCGTCGAGCGTCGAGCGTCGAGCGATCGCGCAGCCCGCCAGAGCCACCTCCTTGCACTGGGCGCCCTTCGATTTTTTATTTAACGGCACTACGACCAGAGAAGCTTTTATGTTGGCCGTAAAACCGCCTTTTGCCTCGCGTTCTTATAGATAAATTTGATAATAATTCCTCGGAGGTCCATAAAGAGTTTATTTATAGAGAAGGAGCAACATCTTAGGTTTCGCTTTGATTAAAAATTTATCGCCAATCCACAGCTTTTCCCATATATCAAAATGTACCTTTGTTTTACTCGGATTAGTTTTTTGGGTACTCTGCAATAAATCGGGATAATTTTTGACTCCGTCTATGTCGGTTACTTATGCTGTGTCACTGTGCGAAAATTCGCCTAATTCTATATTTTGTTATTTATTTATATTTACTTAGTAAGTGGCGACACTCTCAAAGAACCTTATATATAACGAAGATTAGAGGGAAATGAAAAAGAAACGATGAAAAGTACTAAATATCATAAATAGGTACGTAAGTTTGTGAATTTGTTTTCCCTTCAGGACAAAGCGGCTGAAAAGATTTGAAACAAATTTGCAATGGATTCCACAGAGTTCACGCCTGTTACCTTTTTTCTAACTCTATTTTGGTAGTACCAAAGAGATCCGTCTACCGTGAACAGTTAAAGGGGCATCGGTGTAGTCTGGAGTGTCGTTAAATCCTAACAGCCGTATTAATTAGCCTCGCCGTAAAAGAGTCGTTTACATTGAAAGCAGGAACGTGAAATGAGAAACAGCTCGCAACGGTGATTCGGGCGAGGTGGCTTTATGGGGGCCGCGACATATCGCATTACAGCGACGTGGCTCAGTGATTAGTCTTTTTATTCGATTTTAACAAAAACATTTTTTCGCACTCACCTATTCCATCAAAGCACCATTTATTAAAGTCGGTATATATGGACACCATAACATGTACTATTTACACGTATGTTTATGCTGTTACAATTCCTATTTCGTTAATTTAACTCGGCCAAAGTACCGTTTGTCCTTTTTTGATTAGTTAAAAAATGTTTTACATAAGGCGCCACTTCAACTTCTAAGTAGAGGGACTGCTTAGACAGCCTTTTAACTTACCGTAATTAAGCATAAATGGTCTGTATTCTTATTACGATAGAAATAAGTAATTTCACTTTATTTCATTTAATTTCATACTACGCATAAGAAATTAAATGAAATATGAATGTGTAATAAAAATATGTAAATTATGAAGTTCATGAAATAAGCTTTAATTGTTATAGTCCTCAAACACTTTAGAATTGTTCTTTTTCTGACTTAAACAATGAGAAACACTTTTTATTGAATTATAAATTACAATTGTTTTATTGGATATTAAAACGACGTAATTTCTTTCCATAATTAGGTCTATCCTTCTTTATTAGGCTTTTGTCAGCGCAGCAACTATGCATTATTTGGTCACTTTCACAGTAGCCTTCATTAAAGTTAATTATACTTTTCCAAGATCGGCTGTGTGTGTGACATGTTAATATTAATTTTACTTAAATGAAAAATATTGATTAGAGCGGATGGTGTTAACAAGGCCATATTGTTATCTCGAGCGTCGATTCATGATCAATACAGAATAGCTCCATGGCCCTGCGCCTAGAACAAGGCCTGCCGCTGACGAAGGGGCCGATTTTCTTCACTTCGCAACACCCCACATCCACCCGCACCCCACCCGCACCCCTACCCCGGACCACCCCCCTCAGTACCGCAACACGCCGCTTGAAGAGCACACTGCAGACTGTCTAATTAGGACCATAACAGCGAGCACACATCGAGCCATGTGATGTGAACATCATGTCTACAATGCAGCCTTATTCGGGGCTCTTTATGACTTGCCAATATTATAGGAATTTACGCAAAGTTCCCCGGAGCTCTCCGATTGGTTTTGTGTTTCACGAATATCGCTTTCAAACATACATATAATAAAATCACGTCTTTACGTGGTAAAAACCTTCCATCCATTTTCCACAATGGAAATTTGATTTAATTTCCCACATTCCGTTAATTCGGAACTTTTGAATACTTTTTTCCTTATTTTAACTTATATAGGTATATTGTAGAACGGGTTTATTTGTCATCAGAAACAGCTAATTTCCACTCTCCATTGCCAACACACGAAAGAGATAAAGATGTATCCTTACTAATATTATAAAGGCAAAAGTTTGTATGTATGGATGGATGTTAGTTACTCTTTCACGCAAATACTACTGAATGTATTTGATTGAAACTTCACAATAATATAGTTTATATATCAGAATAACACATAGGCTATAATTTTATATATATATTTTTATGTATATTTGTCTTTCTGTCTGAATGTTACGCCTTCAGCCTGTTCTACGCAGACGTAGTCGCGGGCAGCAGCTAGTATTACATAGAAGAGGCCGCAGTGAATTTGGTGCGGTTGGGGTCGCGGGTCAGGCGTCGGTTGGCGCGGGTCAATGGCGGCAAGGGTCCGCCTGCAAATATTCGGGCGCAGGTCGGGCGTGAAATGCGACCGCAGCTATTGCCGAGGGCACTTTCATACTCTGTGCCCTCTTCAGACTATTTCCTCATACAACAATAATTTGCGGCTTGTGCGAGTAAATTGTGCTCCATAAATAATATCAATTCGAAAAAAACGAGAAACATGATTGAAATTTATTTGATTTCTGATTGATATGTGAAGGTGGCAGGCGAGCTTGCAGTTCACCTGATATTAAGCGATAGCCGCTGCCCATGAACATTTAAAACACCCGTCGGGTTGAAGATGCGTCGCCGTCTCTTAATAAAGTGGGCTATCTCACTCACCAGACGAAACGCAGAGGTATGACACTTCCATTCGCACCGGTCGCCTGTGAGGTCTCGTCCGGCCGCCCGGTCGTTAACCCGGACGGACCTGTCCATTCGTGCAACAGGAACAGTTGTCAGGCCTTACCACAGTAAAAGAAGAGATGAACTGCATACTTCAGATTTTAAGTCGCACAAGTTCAACCTTTCAGTTTCTCCTAGTTACAAATAATGTACCATGAAGAAATACTTTCGTAATAAGTTGTTTCAGTACGAGGAAATAAAAAACAGCGCAGTATTTAGTTGCAGCAGCATCAGTGTCCGAAATGGTCTCTTGCAAAAATCCTCGTAAACTACGGGTACCACATGATTATGAATATTGTGACTGGTCATTGATTGAGGCCTTGTAGATTTGATATAGCCAAATGAATTCATGAATTTTCAAAGCGTAGGTATGTACGTACGTTATCGTGCTTTTGTCCCGAATAAGAAAGGACACGTATTATTCTTAACCAAAAGGTTTCATGAACACATAATATACTATACGTAGTCAATGATCTTATATACAAATAAGAGATAGATATGACACTGGCGCACTGAGGCACTAAAATAACCCCCTACCCCCATTGGTGTAATTAGATTGAAATTCTATAGGCTGATATCTCTTTCCGTATCATACGTTCTATATCAAGAATAATAAATTCGGTTAAAAATAATAATAATAAATTTTAAAGTTTTTTATCGTGCTAATCTCTTAACTAACATCTGCACTTAAGATTGAACATTAAAACATGTAGAAAAAGTACGAAAAGATTGTCGCCGCTCTGGGAATCGAACCCACGTCTTCGGCATTCGCGGCCTGACGCTCTAGCCACTGAGCTAAACGGCTCCCACAGCGGCGACAATCTTTTTGTACTTTTTCTACATGGTTTAATAATAATAATCTTTATTCAAATGACATATGTCTGTCACATTCACTTCAAAACGTCATATGATGTAAAGCGAAAAAAATATATAAGTAATTATAATTTAAATATAAACGCCACACAGTATGGACATGCGTCATCCATATTATTAAACATCATTGTACATTCAAAGGAATTAAAAAAGCGAGCGTTCGTTTTTTTTAAGACCGCGCTGAAGTGTGCTCCGAGTGGTGGGTGTTTTGATCGCAAGCGAGTGATTGCGGATAACAGCAATCAGTGAAGCGTCCAGGAGCGGCGTCGCTTCGGGCCTCTTGTGGCGCCCCGGCGATGGCCTCGAGGCGAGGGAGCCTCGACTGTAACTTTCCACTTACGGCGAACGCGTTCAGCGATTGTGCACAGGCCTGATAACCACCATCGGCGCAAAGTGGATGTATCTAAAACTTAACAAAAGACTCGTCATGAGCCCCATATTGTGCGAAAGACACCCCCATGCCTGCCGCTCAGCGACTCACTATCAGGGGGGAAGGTTGCGCGCGTAGGCCAGCCCCTGCTCCGTGGTCTCTAGCGGCGGATATCCAGGGTAGCAGGCCTCCCTTTCTCTCACTGCGGCCAGGTTGGCAACGCACCTGCCCGCGCGGCGGTAATCTCTTATGTTTACATCAGGTGTGCCGCATACGTCCATTAATAAAAAAAAATGCTCTTTCAAGAATAAACTCAATTTTAAATTGTCTTATCGCAATCTGAATACGCCATGACTTCAATCGGGAAAATGTAAATGTTTGAAAAAACTAAAATTTATAACATCAGTTTCAAAGCAATGTTAATGGCATACTAAGGTTATATACATAGTGGTAACTTTGTTATAAAGTATTTATCAGTTTTAAAAAATTCTATAAACAGGTAAATTCGATAAATAAAAAAAAACCCGATATCAATAGTTCTAGCGTTATAAAATGGAATCTCTCACTAGCACTCCGGTCCTGTGAGGTGTTCCATCCGCCGTGTCATTGTTACTGCAGCGTAATTTAAACTATACCTGTATCACGATAGCTCATTACGTAACACCCCTATTCAAATATTATGTTTATGACTGGTTAATTCTACCATAACTCTCGATATATGAACGCGATAACCTACATATTCTAAGATCATTTTATAGTAAATTAATTGGCCGATAATCGTACGCACAGTGAAGTTAATCGAGGGCACGTACAAGTTGAATGTAAACAAACTGGAGTGGGGTGGGGGGAGTGGCAACTTATCATACCTTTGCTGATAAAGGAAGCGGCGGTAATATTACAAATCTTAAGTACATTATAACAATTTACAAAATAGCACTTGAACTCTCCCTCCCTATCTACGACATATCTCGAGGGATCCAATTTAGAATGCAAAGTGTAGCACAACACTCATGGTAGAAAGAATTTTTGAGTAAAACGAATTAATTTTCATTAAAGTAACCAGGGGAGCGAGGTGGGAGGTGCTTCTCAAGGGATATGATGCCTGAGGACGAGAGCTCCGTACACCCACTCGTTAGACTAAGCACTCGGCAAACACACGGCGCCCCTTCGGTGGAGAGTGAACGGAAGGAGCGAGGAGCGAGCCGAAGGGACCTTGGCTTAGGGTGGGCTGCGCTCTCCGCGGACATGTTGCCCGCTAATACACCACGGCATTGGGCGACAACTAAGCGATAAACACTAGCCTCGGACGACGGAGGGTTATATCAATATTATTAGGATTCCACATTCAGACACGAAATACGTGTAAAAAACACGCTTGTTGTTATCATCTTGAATAAGATTTGGATAGACTATGTAAAGGATGTCTGTGAAAGGGGTTTGTTGAAATGATGGCTGAGAGCAACACTCTCAATAGGGCAGAAGAATAAACATTACTAATGTATTTACATAAATATGTAATAAAATATAATAGGTCATTAACCGGCGGTTGCTTTAAATTCAATATTACTAACCTGTTGAACAACTCAACTTGAGTTCGATCCCCGGTGCCGGCAACAATAATTTTGTTAATTTTAAGTGCTGATTTATCAAGAGCTCGGCGGTGAAGGAAAACATCGTGAGGAAACCAGCATATTGTCGAAAAAAGAACAAAATAAATGTTTCGAAGATATGTGAAGTCCGCCAATCCACAGTTGGATCGCGTGGTAGATTATGCCCTGGTACCCACTGTACAGAGTCTTTGCCCGGTAACGGGACATATACAGGCTGTTACTTTTTTTACTATTCGTATTTGTACTAGTGATTTATTTGAAGATATCGGGATTTTTTTCAAAGTAACCGGTTATTGAACAATATTGAACAATGATTCTCTATTTTATTATACCAAAAAATTGCGTATTGCAGCGTATAGAAAAGGCCTTCTATAATATATATAATATTAGCTCAAGTTTATTTTATTATGCAAAGTGCACGAAGCTTCCATTAGGAGGAGCCACCATTGTGTTGATTCGGCCAATGTAGATTTATAAGTTCATGACTCGTGCAATAATCAGTTTAAATTGAATAGAACAGAATTATTAGCGGTCAATCGCGAGTACAAGTGCAGAGCTTTGAACATCCCGCAACGTCCTCCTTGCAAAGTACGCAATACGCAATACGCATCATATTTGTGGCCTTTTTAATATATTTGCACATATCCATGTAGAACGATATTTTATGATTCTATAATTTAGGGTATAAAAAAGATTGAATTAAGTTTTAACATACTTTTCCGTTTCGGTTACGATCACAACTAGATGAGAAGCCGTTTGTTTGCATTCTCGGTTTCGTCTAAAAATCCGGATTTATGGTAACTTTTGAACGACCTCACCGATGAAAGTTAAATTCACAAAAATGATTTGTTTTGTCAAGATGATGTGATGACTCAGTTTTGAAAAGTAATTGTAAATAAGCTTATGATCGATAATGATATTTAGTTGATGTCATGTTATTATTGTTACTTGTAATTTGATGCAAATTAAAAAAGAAGGAAACCATATTTCCTCTATCAGATCCTGTTGTAAACATTTCCATTTTTGTTGGATAAATTTTTCGTAATCCATAAATCAGGAATCAATATATCGGTCTCGGGTCCCGCGTCCGTCTGCGAAGTCGGTCTTATCTCTCCGACCATTATTTAAACCCTGCCTGCTTTGCCTTTCTTTGCGATAACGTTATCTATCTATAGGGACTATATCGGTATTCGGGTATACGCATAGTTTATCGGAACTGTTATCTATGTATATTATTCTTTCTAATTATAAATAATTTATAAGAGTGGCTTTAGATATGGGTACCACCTCTCTCGATGAAAGAATAATTGTAAAAAAATATACGAGAACGAAATCTTTTGATAAATTACAAAAGTCAGAAAAAGCTCACATAATCTAGTTTTTTTAAATAACCATAAAATATCGTTGCGCATGGTGGAATGTTCATTTCAACAATATATAATATAAAAGCTCGTGCGCTATCAAGTTGTTATCGGAAAGCAGATAGGGATTAAACAGGCCGGGCCACTAATGGAGCCGTTAATTTTAATCAAATATCAAACCGCGTGGCGAACAACTACGATATTTCAGGGCTCGCCGCTCCCTCACTCGCAGCATGCATATTAATTTCGTGTAACGCAATTATGCCCGACGGACCAATGGGCCCTGATTTACTATAATAAATAAAATATTTAAACCACGCGTGTTTATTTTACGTCTGCTTTATCATAATACGTAATTCGATGGCTCAGTTGGTGCATTTGTTATGCTATAGGCGGCGCGGATCGTGAATTCGATTCCCACAGGGGGCAAGCATTAACATAGGCGTTGGTCAGTGTGAAAACGGGGAATGTAAAACGATCTGAAATTGTTATTTGTATATTAACATGAAATTTTAATTAAAACTAGATATGTACATAGATAAAATAAGGTCTAAGCCTGGGAATCAGATCAATGTACCATTAGAAAAGATTCTTCAGAATATACTTCAGCCGTCTGACAGTTTGCTAGCAATTACGCGATCGATATAATTACTAACCCTATGAGGCAGTTGTCGAAAATATAATATGCCATTGAAATATAAGTAAGATCATTCTATAAATATACAAATCAATTTGCTAACTAAATTGGCATTCGTTAAAAAACCCACATAAAAACGAGGTTTGTAATTCAGAGATTTTATTGAGTAATCCCTGCCTCTAAGACGTGTTCTTTTAAGATAATGCACATTACAAACTAAACGTTTATGTTCTGGCACAAAGTCTAAACAGAACCGATTTGGAGCACTTTATGTTGCGAAATTGTTTACTTACACACTCTGCGCTCAAGAATTGCTGAAGTCGTTTACCTGTAAAAGCAAATAAGCGTGTTAGTTAAATGTAAATATCTACAACATTTATACAATTTTTATTTTAAAAAATATCGAATTTAAGTTACCGACCAAACATTTGGGGAAGCATGTATTAGCAGTGCATCCTTTCATTATCAAATATACTTAGCTAAAATAAGCTTAGTTAATATATAACTTTTCGCCCGTGGCTTCGCTCGCGTTGAAGCTCTTAAATAACCTTTTACAACCCAACCCTTTACAACACTTTTTTCCAATAAAAAAATAGCCTATGTCCTTTCTCAGGCTCCAAACTATCTGTGTACCAAATTTCATTTAAATCGATTCTGTAGATTTGGCGTGAAAGCGAGACAGACAGACAGAGTTACTTTCGCATTTATAATATTAAGTATGGATAGAAATATATATTATAAAGTATATAATATAAAATGATCCGTAGCATGGTTTATGTTAATGGTCAGAAGTTAAAAAATCTGTCATCATACCGTGCAAATGCAATGCAAGTCTCTTAATCCAAATAATAGCTCTTTATATTATCGCTAGAAATTGCAACCAAGCATCACGTTTAAGTCACTCATACAATATGTCGCTTTTATTGTTAACGTAGAAAATCTGAGGTCAAACTTGGGAAAATACCCAGAGCTAGGAGCAGACGTTATACTTTAGCGACACGAGTTATAATCCGAACGACACAATATGAAGTTGAACGATTTTCCTTGAACGTGGGTTTTATAATAGTTAAGAAAATACTTTCTATCTTGCAACTTAGTTTCAAACAGTAAAATCTAGCAGTATATAGCAATGATTTATGCCCCTAAATAATATTTAGAACAAAACTAAAGCGCCAATAAGAGATGCGAAATAGTCTAAACAGCTTAGTACTGTAGTTTGACATGACCCAGAGTGCCTATATTGTGTAAAGTAAACATGAGACTACTCATTTGAGTAAATGTCGATACTTTTATTGTATGGTTGCCCGTGAATTTTGCGAAACGAATAATTTTTTTTTACGTATATTAACATTGTTAATTTTATGGATTGTAAGCGATTTCTAAATAAAAATAGAATAAAAAGATAAAAACCTATTTAAAAATGCGTAAATCTTAAATAATTGTATTACAATATTGCATATACTACAAGCACAAAAAAATGCCGATTATACTGAACATTCAGCGCATCTCTAAAAGAATGTAGAGGTATATAGAAAAAACCGTTAACAATGATGAAAACACGCACACACACCAACAAACAAACCTTTACATCAACGTTAGTGATTGCCCGAATTTAATAAAACACAAACACAATAGGAGAACTGTTCATGGATGTATTAAATTGAATTATGTATGAAATGGAAGCTTGGGGTATGGACGTGCGACGCACACCGTGGCCCCCGAGGGTCGCCTTTAGCATTTTCAATTGAAATTATGACGCCAACTACAGACTACCGACTATTTCATATTCCGTATCACTAATACATGCGTTTATAGGAGCGAGCTTTAGAATATTTGGTATTCGTAAGTATACGTATTCGCTAGCCGTAGAGGACGCGTTACTGTGAGTGAGACGTTTGGGAAGCTCAAGCCAAAAGGCGGCAGCGGCGAATCGTGTCGGCGTGTATTTGTTTAGGCTCCATCGAACGCTCATTGCGAACGTTAGTCCGTTGGCTCCGAGGGAGTCGCTCGCCCACCACTCGCTGCTCGGGGCTCGTTGCCGAATGCCATGAATAATTTATAATTTGATAAAAGGGCACAGTCGCCGCAGTGTCGCTTTTGCTTACGACACGTTAAACCTAGCTCACACAAATCATCAGGACAGAGGGATATTACACGTTTTAAAATTTTTATAAGCGTCTCTTTGGTTTAGATTAGAGGCAATTTCGAAAGTGTTAAATATATATAATATATATAAAATGCTATGAGAATTATGTGTATTTATAAGGGTGGAAAGACGTATGCTGTTAATGGTCGAATTCAAATGACCATTAACAGTGGACCATATGCGGGCGAGCGAAAACGCTTCGTACTTACTTTGTCCTAAAGCTCAAAGCGCGGGGGACCTCATCGAAAACTTTTAGTACCGCTGGTGTTTTGACAAAAAAAGACATTCATAATCGATTGATTGATACGGGGTCAAAACTGAAGAGGAGTGAAGTTCTAGAGGTTAAATTAAATTTTATTCATGTTTTAAACATTACCTACGGTACACTATATAACGGGAAAACAATTAAAAGTGCACTGTCTACATCGGGAACCCTTATGAACAGTACCACTACCATTATATCCACCTACCCATTGTCCGTGCAGGACGTGAGCCTACGAGCCACAGCACAGGGGCCAGTGGTTCGTCCACTTGATATATTATTCAATTGACGGGCGTTGTTTGTTATGCGAGTTGTTAAGCGGACACATGATGAACGGTCGGCCGTCGTCTGGCAAACGAATCGATGGGTCGTTGGGCCGAGCAGTTGGCGCCGCGGTGACGTCATCCCACCCACGGCCACAACGGCAGCACAGGCCAGTGGAAACTGCAGCCTCTATACGCAGCCGGGCTATGATAGCACAGAATGGAACGAACTGTTATCCAATAAACAATAAAAACACATACAGCCACGTGGTGATTGTAATCGCCCCCACTTGTGTGGTCATCACATCCGTCAGTAAATTATGCCTCGGGTTCCCCACCCGTTGAGAGATCTCACGGACTGACCTTGACCCCTTTTAATATAACCCTCACGTTTAATCTCCAGAACTATCGATCGCAACGGTCTTGAGTTGCCGTCGACTCATAAAAATTGTTTCCTGAAAGACATGAAGCTACATTCCCAACGATATAAGGTGAGTTATCGGGTTATTTAAAGGGGAAGAATGTTGTAACGTATTTAGGTGCAAATGCCTTCAACCGAACGTCCCTGAGAGCCGTTTTTGCGGCGACCGTCAGCTCCGAGGTATGTCGCTGGGCAAGCATTCGAGTAACGACCTTGTATTTTATTTAGCTCTTATTGGGATTTAACAAATATTTAAAAGGAAACTATGTTCGTTTGTCTATAATAAAAAGGACAGAAGATAAAGTAACTAGCCCTTAAAGTAGCCAGACTACGAACTAATTAAAGTGATGGTCACCGAAAAAAGACTCTTACTCAGCTAACAATACTATGTAACTTTAATATTCTAAGAGTTTAGATTTTTTTCTTTTAACTATTCCCGATTACAATATGATGAAAAAGCAATAAACTACAGGTTGTGAATTTTCATTGAAAGACGGCAAGGAATATCCTTGAATGTAATAATAGAATTTGTAATTAGTATCATCTCTACATACTATAAAACAAAGTCGTTCCACTGTCTGTTTGTCCCTATTTATGCTTAGATCTTTAAAACTACGCAATGGATTTTTCTAACGGTTTCTTTACTAGATAGAGTGATTCAAGAGGAAGAAATATGTATAATACATTGCACCCGTGCGAAGCCGCTGCGGGTCCAGTAACTTATTTACTTCTGTTATGCGTCCCTACGTAAGTAGCATTATTCCAAGAAGGCTTGAAGCAATTGGCCGTCTGGTGGCCTTCTGTTGCATTGTGCGGTGGCACAAAAGGGGGAGGGCAGGTAAGGCACGCGGGACGGGAGCGACGCGGCGCAATTGCCTCGAACGGCGCTTCTTTTGTGACGGACGGCGGCGGAGGTTTCGTTCTACTCGTATCTCGAGAAAATTCCCTTGGCAATACGCGCACGATACGAAACAAAAGTTATCATTGGAGTCAACTAGTAAGTTTCCCGTCAATGGGCATAATAAATTGCGTTTTCCTAAAGCGAATCCGACACAAAGACCAAAATTTGCATGTGAAAGCATCGTAGCGAATTGTACTCTCTTAGTCTATAGATCGCACTGCTTTTAGTGTGTTATTTATTTATTTATATTATATTTTGATTGGTTTATATGAAATGCATTAGTATTGCATCGCACCGATATGAGAAACATCAAAAAGAACTCGATTTTGTTGCGTTGGTTGGCATTGTTTAATAGAAATTGAATTGAGTCACTCACGTGGTCTGATATCATTTCATCTGATGCCTGTTACTATTTTCGCTACTTGGTGCTATACAAGTGTAGTGCACACACAACGAAGAATATAATGAAATCCACCAAATAACTTTTCCGAAACTTGTCAGTTTGGAAAACGATCGCGGCAACAATGAGCCACTTGAATCGACACTTGGCGTTTGTTTCGCTTTGTACAAAAGAAGTTGATTGTTCTCGATCGTTCGGGATCCTAGCAATCATTTGGGGTTCAAGTTGAAGTAAATACTTTCGGTATTCTTAGGCCATATCCGCTTTTCACCAAATCTTTTGTTTCGTCTTTGTATTCACGGCTTTTGTTTAAATTGTTTTCCTTTTGGTTTTCATAACTCTTTTTGTACTATGCTCTCCATTTTCAAATGGAACATATTTTATACCTTTTGAATATAGTGATTCCGAGTTTCTAAGCGTGTCGAGTACTCTAATAGAGTATACATAAATATCTTTATTGTTTAAAAAAAGGATTAATCATATGATGTGGAATATTTTCCGAAATAAAACAATATTTTAATTTTAAATAAGAAATTAATTACAATGAATCATCACGCCGAAAATTGTTGCACCTAAAAACAGATCGGATTAGAAGTTGAAAATTTCAAGAAGTTGAACAGGATGTAATATATTATGGAAGGCAAAAGTCGTTCGGAGTTGGAAGAACGATCGCCGATCGCTTCGGCCGCAAAGTTTAGCCATCGGGTACCAAATACACTGTAGATTGAAACGTGGCCCTGTCCGCTAATGGAGTCGTTCATTTTAATCAAATATTAAATCACGAGAATATAGTGCTTGTTTCGAACAACGGTAATAATTCAGCGGTTTATGGCGGCCGAGAGCGATTCACTAAACATCAATTTTAGATATGTAATTAATTTCAGATATTTGGTTCAATCAAAGGATCAATTTTGAAGGTCTGGCTAGAAACCTGTTAATTAAATTTACAATTAAACCTGTCGGAAAAAAATAAGCCATCTGGGAACTTTTAACGAAAACCCTATGAGATATAACAAAATGATGTATGGTGGAATCGTGTATCTTATATAGGTCTACAGAAAAGTCTGTGATGGCATGTGTCTATCTCTTACGGATAACATACTATATCTATATTAATACTTTAAAAAATGGACAATTATAAAACGGTAATTGGAAAGCTATTAACACAAACACAGTAATTAATCCTTATCATTTTATTATTACTTATTTCGTGCACATTATTTTACTCTATTAATTAATTAATCATTAATTAAAACCCATATCTTAGGAGTAATCGCAAAAAATTACGGATGCGAGAATAGAATTCAAGCACCTTGCTTCGCTTGATGCAATCGCCGAGCCTCCCCCCCGCGCCTGTGCATACGTATCCCTGGAATGGGTTCCCATGGGTCGCGAGAAAGGGACCAAAATTTCATGATTATTTAACTAGTGTTAATATATGAATGTAATGTTAATGCTTTGAGTGGTGGGGCGACCCCCCACTAGGCGGAGTGACGACCTGTGTAAGTGTGCGGGAAGTCGCTGGATGTAGGTGGGCTCGTGCTACGTGGCAGTCTGTGGACTCAAACAGGCTGAAATGATTTACGTTTTGAGGGGAAAAATGGCAACAAAGAGGATATCTGCTGAGATTTTTTCTGTTAGAGCAGCGTCAGCGTCATTACGAAACGGTGTTAGATTAAAAGTAATATCGATGGCTGAAGTGTATGTTTCTTATTTAGATGAATAAATGATTTCGTTCGAATGCTCCCAATTTTTGCTACTGAACTTTCGACAGTTGTTTCGACACACATTATAATCTTCAACTCAAGTGCAAAGACTAGCACCAAAACTATAAATTAAGTGTACGACAATATTAATTCACTAAATGCGTGCGATAAATATAAACCCCAAAAGTTGTACGGCGAGTTTTATCTATAAATAAATAAAATGTTTTCGCGTCGTTGTTGCGCGCAATGTGCGCGCAACTTGGCACAACGTAACCTGTCGGACTGGTTCATGCGTCGAATGCGCCGTTCCGTTAAGCCACGAGGGAGCGCTGGGCCAAATGGCCCCGCACTTTCACTCGCCTTGCCCAAAGGACGACCGGTGCCACTCAGTTCTGGAAGGGACACGAAGGCGAGTGCGCCCACTGTCCTCAGACGCAACGGGCGCAACGATGTTTGCACGAACAACAATCAGTTGGACTTGCAACGGATATTCGGTATTAGGCATATTCAAGAGCTTGCAGCAGATTAGGCCGTACGAGTGTTTGGGTTCTATTCGCCCGAAAATCTAATATTTAGTTAAGGTGTTTGGTACTATTGATAAATGGTAAAATGTAAACAATAATAAATTTCATAATAGTGTATTTTTATTCATTGTTATTTTAATATGTCCTCTTGAATAATCGTTATAATGGTTAAGAAGTGAAATTTTATAAGAAAGACACATATTTCTACATTTTTAGGCAGTAGTTTACTTATTTTCTTTCCACACGATACTGATGATATTCGTATCCCTCGAAATATGTCCAGGGGTGAAATAAATTATACATAATTATACATAAACTACGCAATTTTAGTTTTAAACTAGTCAAAATGTAGAAATTACCCACGACAGTTTCGTTTTCATATTTACTATGTGCACAAACGAAATTAGTCAAAACACGTAGCGAGGCGTGGAAGGGATGTAAGTACATTTGAACTGAACTAGAAAGCATCACGTCGAAACAAGTTTTCCAGCCACGCGCCGGCTCAGTACTTTTGTCTAATATTAGCTTATTCGGCCAGGAAGCCCCAAGAATATTCGGTATTCGACAGGTGACCGAATATTCGTTACAACTCTACTTTGAATATATCGAAAATAAATATGCACAATAATTGATTACAGACGTTAGCCAGCTATAAAAATCATAACTTCAAAAGGATTCTATGATTTTAACAAGAAACCCATTTTTAAACTGAAATATACATGATGATGTACAATTAAGTTGACATGCGTGGTGTATGTATATAATCTGTAGTTTATTGAAGAATAAATCAGTATTGGATATAAGATCGGGCGAGGGGGGGGGGGGGGGGGCGGGGCCGGTTGCCTCTCAACCGCCACGTGGCCGCCACATGCCGAATCTGAACGCTTAAGGCATCCAGATTTCTTCCTTGGCCTTGGCCAGATTTTATAACTTAACGACCTTTTTGAATCGTATTAAACATCTAAAGAAAATTCTTCAGAGTTGATGAATAAACACTTAAGACTTATGCAAGTGTCTTTGGTAAAACTTTTTCTATTTATCTAAGATTTTTGAAGAAAATTGCAAACTATTTTCAGGTATTGAAATAAGCATTCCTTATGAATACTCAAATACATAATTCATTTATTTATTGACAAGTACGTTCAAATAGGGCGGTAATCATCAAGTGCCATCAGCGTTGAGCATTTAAAATGCAAACGCAATTGAGCAGCCGGTTAATAGTTAATTTTTGGCGAAAACAATGCTCGTTATTTGGCCAATACCCTGTTAATTGAGTGCACTCCACCATCCGATCGGGGCATCGCATTGGTGCTCGTTTCGAACGGAACAATGAGCACCGCGTTTGTGGTCACATGTTTAAAAATTAACACTAATTCGTGTGATGCCAATTTTATGTACAATCAGCGGGTAATCTGCTAATGTCAAATGCATTTAACATTAATAACCTAAGCGCATTTATATATTCACAAAAGTCGATTGAGTTGATGCTTGCTTGCTTGGCACTCAATGCCATTTACGTTTATACACTCTCATAAAGGGATCGAAACTTCCGCGGAAGTAGTAAGTGCGCTTCATTGGAGTTAATTAACGATTGTGAGCCTTATACCTGCGCACTTTTTCATTTTTAATTAGGACTAAAAAACATATCCTGCAATATAACTTGTTTAGTAAAAAAAGTGTTCACTTTATATTTTGTTCTTTGAGACACACACTACGATTGGTTTAAAGGCTCAAAACAATTTGAATGTATCGATTACGTTCGTCGAACCAAACGCAAAAGTATGAAAAGTTTTACTTCACGCCCGAGCAGGTGTTATTTAAGATGTTGTTGGTGCATCAAAGTGAGAGATCTTTATCTTCTGTGCGCGGATTAAGCGTTGGCATAAACTGCAAGTATGTACATTTATACATACTAGTGGACGCCGAGTGGTCGAAATTGGACCATAATTAATTTAAATACTAAGTTTGACAAATATTAATCTATTCTCAAATACAATACACAATAAACAAAAGAGTATATGTGCGTGAGGGTGACAAATACATTCTAATCCTTAAGAAGATAATTCTGATCAATTCCGAGAGTTTAAGAATTCTTTAGGCAACTCAAATAACATTTGAAAAGCCATTTGACAGCTGATTAGTTGACTTCTACGATGATCAGTGTTTCAGAAACCGGGCGTCAGTGTATTTTTAGTAAATGATTTTACATTGACATATATACTAAATCTTACGAATTAAAGTAAACCTTTACAATTCTATAAATACACAATAAATTATTCATGTATTCATTATACAGAGATCTGTAAACAACCGTCTATGATAAATATGCAGTTATTATTGGAAACTCTCTGAAGGATTATCCTAACCGACTCTCAGTGGGAGCCTAAATTGATTTGTGAGTGGAATTAATTATATTTGTACACCGATCAGCGTTTACTTTCCCCGAGCTCTAATTAAGTGAAATTGGACAGTTAATTAGGCAGTTCTTGCATTAATTTAGCACCCGAAAGCACCAAAAACTTCTCGAGAAATTTCCCGCGATTCACCTCGGAAATATCAGTGTACATGAGCCGAGCGGCCGGCGCCGGTTCCCTGGGGGCGAACGGTGTCAATAGCTCTCGATGTCGGCTGATAAGAGTCTGCCAACTTTCGCCCGCTTGTTTGCTTATCGGCGTGTTTCAACAGGTTAGCGTACGATTTATGAGCGCAGCCGCGATCGCTATCGGATGGCGGACTCCGCTTCAAATACAGCTGTTTACACGAAGGACTGATGGGAGCCACAATATGTATCACAATTATGAATACATTTCATTCTTCGAATCTGGCTGCCATCGCCCACAACCTCCTCGTATAGAAACTCAACGCCTCTCTTGCTGCATTAGAGCCTAACTTCGTTAGGTTAACTAGTTCATTAGCTCCATTACTCGACTCAATCAAGTTCAATTTATATTGATAACTGAACCATAGGTACATAAATCGCACTTGGAGAAACTTGCATTACTTCCTATAATAACGTTTCGAAACCGTGGATTTGTCATTTGCTCTCAGAGTTGAATCATAATTATCTCGATTGCAGACGTAATGTGTCAGTGAAGTAAAGTAATTTAAATATATGTTTTTACCTTTCGCTCAGACTTTTTAATGAGTCTGCAAGCCATTGCGATTACCAAACGAGAGTAGCTACTTTGACTCGTATATATAAAAAAATGAAAGAAAAGAACTTTCAAAATATCGTTTGTGGTAAATGTTTTAGTAAATATTATATGTGAAACCGTGATAATTAGCTATTTGTATAAAAGTAGTTGGACAATAATAACTAACATATTTAAAATTAAACCCGAAAAATCAATGCAATCTAAAAATCAAACACTCCACAACAAGTGCTCGATTAGGAATAGGAATTAATAAAAGTTAATATTTGACATATAGTTAACATTGATACGGTTTATTTATCATTCACATAAAAGGATCAAGAATAAAAGTAACATAGAAAAATGGGTACAGTAATATTGTGCAAAGTAAGTATGTTTTTTTGTCATGGCGGATAGATATTAAACATCAAACGTTGCGCAGACTATTGGGCGAGGAGTGTGGTATTTGACGGAAAAGGCAATAAATTGAGTACCGCCAGTGTATGGATACGTGTTTTAGTGATTGTTCACATACAGTATACACAATGGATAATATATTGATTCAGCCTTTCTGGCCTTTTAAACCAAATTCATAGTGATGCAGAAAAAGTTAAGAATAACTAGATCTAACTATTCGGTAATGCGTGTATGTAAGCAAAGTTATATAAACACGCGACTTGCACTGGTGTAGTCCGTTAGTCAAACGGTTAGCCTTACAAAGCTGGTCACAACACCGTTCCCGATATGAATAGGGGGCCCTTATCTAGAGGGGGGTAAATAGAGACAGTGCCGGCCGCATTGGCACGTCAATCCGCTGGTTGTGTACACTGCCAGCGGATAACAGCGTTGCCCACCCGATAGAGGATGGAGGGGCGCTTCAATGTCGTATCGCTTTCTCGAACCAGGCCCTCGAAATGAGACGACCCCTTTTAAGAGCGAGTGATATTAATAGAAGCGCGGCCTCGCAGCTCGCAGGGTCCAAGCACCTTTGACGCTTTATACTTTCACAGGGTATGATAGTATCGATCGATACTGTGTTTACAAAATGCACCTCAAAAATGTTTCTTTTTTGATTACTACTATTATAAGGCAAAAACTATATTGCTAGTGTATATTTACCGCGCACTCGACAACGAAATATCAACCTTGGCGTTCTCCAATGACCACTCGGTCTGCCGGAACAGAAAGGCCTATTAACTATTTGCTCGCTTCATGGAGCCAAGCGAACAAAAAAAAGTTTTCGTCGTAGTACCAGAGTGAGTTAATAATGGTATTACGTGATTTAATTGTTCCGTAATCATAATGGATCGTGAGATATTCGGCATGGTGGGTGCGCTACGAGTATGAGTGCACGTTATGTTTTGAGTTCGCCTACATGGAGAGTAGTAGTACGTAAGACCCTGACACTCAATGAGATAATATGTTACTTGAGTAAACAGTTCCTTCAACTTTTTGTTTATCCTTTGCCATTCAATTAGACGGATAGTTTCGTATATTAACCGATAGTCCCTGGTTAAATGCTTCGTTAGAGGGGTACGTGACTCCAAGATTTGTTCGGAATGAACGGTTACGTTACTAGACGGCGGAGTTTCAGGTTTCGTGCGTGTTAGAGCGAACTTTGGGCCGAGTTCATCGAAGCTCGCCGGGCCCGCCGCGACAGGGCCCTTCGCTCCTATCCCCTTCTCTCATTAGGATTCGGGCGAGGTGCGGCCACGGGAGTCCCGCACCCAACTAACTGCCCGACAAATGTTTCACTGATTCATCCTTCGCGGGAACTTTTTACGATGTCCTTTGAATAATTGATTAACATGTCACGATGAATTATATCGCTCTCTCAATTAATGTTGTAACGGAATTGTTCATAAACGGAAATGGGTTTTTAATCTATTTTCGCCTTATATTTTGTACTCTATTTGTATGAGAATGTCGCAGTTTAACAATAGGCAAACACGCCAGTCTAGGCGCTCCAGTCAATTGGTGCAGCGACATGGCAACCAACAAAACGTTTGCAACTCGCACTCCATTTCTAAATAATTGTGCTGTATTTATTAGTCAGATTGTGTTTAGAACTCCGAACTCGTTTTGGTTAGTGAGAAAACTAGAAAAAAAAATATTATTAACCATATTGTATTTACATCCCTTTAAAAACTCAAGTAGTTAAAACTTTTTGGAGCGGGTTTGGGTGGTCTATTTATGTTAGCACGTGTGACCTTAGATAATAATTGAGTAAATTATGTCATTGTAGTTTGTTGTGTCTACCGCAGGCGCGATACGGTATCGTTAATGAACCATTTAAGGCAGACCCGCATCGTCGAGTCCTTTTGGGCGAACTGAGCTTAGAAGTAGACACATAACGAAGTAAACTAATACAAACACAAGGTTTATGTGTCTGTATAATATTGAGATATTATGTGAAAGGAAAATAACTGACTTTCTGGTTCGTTGATATCATCTCAACGGCTTCGCCATTTAAATTCCTCTCGTAGCACTCGCGCGACACACGGAGTAGAGGCGGCACTTATAATCATTCGCAGCGAGAGCGCACCGCCTCGTTAGTCCCGTTGGGCTCAACAGACGCACGAGTCACGCAGAGAGGGGTTCGAAATCGGCACGCGCCTCATGTCTAGAGGTCTAGAACTGATGACGTCATCGACGGATAGTTTTAGACATGACGACGTTAATGGTAATAGAAGAAATCATGACGTTTAAGATAGGGGTGGGCTCCCTTTCGAAGGTCCTTTTTTTAGTCACATCGGTCCGTTAACACAAAGTTAAATACACAACATAGATTGATTATTATCGGTGGTATACCTATATATTTACTTAACAGTGATATTTTTATTATTTTTTCAACAAATTGTCGAAATATTCAACGCAAATAATAAATACCGAAAATAAATGCCGCCTAAATATTGAAGTCGTCAAAATTTTTAGTCGCCGGTTAGATATGTTAGCATCTATGAATTTTAAAGGCGACTCGTCGCGACCCTCATATTTCAATGATGAGCGGCAAATTTGACGGCACCGAGCGAGCGCGCCGTAAAACATTCCTAAAGATATATTGCGAAAGTTTCGAAGATCAAACCTGCTGCAAAACTCCGCTGGATAGCTGAAAACTGTCAGAATGTTTGAGCGCGCATTGAGATAAATATTTATGGTATTTCCGACAGAGCTTGTACAATGAATAATTCAGGAAATCCAGCGTCATGGAATCACGACATTTCCGTGTGACGAAAAACAAGAAGAGAGCCCCCGAGCGATTCGTCGCTGCGCTGAGCTAATTTTAGTCCCACTCTCTTGCGTCTTACTCTTACGTGTTGCGACACGCGCGCGAACAGTCTCCGATGCACTTCCTAGAATCCTGCCCTAGTCACCGCGGCACCGGGACACCGATCGAACGCACACTTTAGAAGACCAAGTAAAAGTAATCGAAGAGTAAACGAATTCTATTTATGACTATTTCAACGTAAATCATTAAACATATATTATGCTTTTGGCGTATATAGTTTACTTTTTACAGTAAACGACAATTACAAGCGATAAAATAAAACTATTGTAGTCGATTTTTTGTTTACGTGGAAATACATTACGCATGCCGGGTAATGCTGGACATGAATAAAACGAGAAAAATGTTCGAGGTCGAATAGTGACTATTGTACAGTGAACGCTCGTATAGCTAACGGTGAGGGCTTCTAAACATTCCTCTCTTAGTCGTAACGGTAAATATTTTAATAGCTAGAAAACTCCGGTAAATCGCTCTCCGAGCGGGCTACGAACGTGTACTGGAGATGGTCAGAGATTTACAATCAGTCGGTTCACCGGCTCTGGGGCGCGGGCGTGGGCGGGGAATGAGGCGCGCAGGGGCGGGGAGGGGGGGCGACGCGCTCCAGGAAGGAAGCAATGTAACTTACCACGACGCCGATGTAATAAATAGAGCTCATGTCTAGATTCAGTTCGGTTCCAGTTTTAAGTTTGGCGCCTTTTTGTGCTTTCACAACTCGCTATTCACTTTAGATCGTTTATACTTTATAACGTACTCAGCTCTCTGTGTTAGTTAGATTTTACTTTGGTATTCAACCGCGGAGGTGAAAAATAATTTCAAATAAATATCTCTCTCATTTGTCTTTACTAAGAATATTTAGGCGACATATATATATAGATATACATAGAGTATTACAAGTCAATACTGACCTACTGAGAGTGAAAATTAAGTAGAAGATTTAAAATTAGTATTTTACTCGTATAAGGAATTTTTATAAAGGCGTACCAACCGTAATTTAACTGAGCGTTCCTAAGACTTTTTACTTAATGTAAGAAAAAATAAAAAAAATCATCTACATTTAGGGTAAAATAATGTTAATATTACAACTGGCACACTGTTTCACTAATGCTTCCAGCATTAAAATGTACTTTGAGTTATAATGTTTATAAGGCATTAAGTTATGTAATAAGACTGACAAAGCAAAAGTTGAAATAATCTAATAAAGCGGCATAATGGCCAATAAAAACCTGTTAGAAAATTAGGCAAAGCGAATATCCGGGGCGAGTCCCGCCAAACGTTTTATTATACGAACAGAAAAACTGGTCAAACACCCGAATCCTTATAATCCACGCACCATTAACGCACATATCATGCGTGCTTACACTTAATGGAGCGTGCCGTCGCGTCGGAGGCCCACTGCCCCCATCCCTCATTCGTTGGGTTAATTGGGGGACACAGCTCCAAAAAAGATCCCAGCCATTAATTCGCACAGCCGACGGCTAAGTGTGCATAGCTCGGTTCAATTCTTGCCTTGGAAAAAATAGAAATATCTATATACAAATATTCGCACACATGATAATTTTGTAGCACCTAATTGTTCTGTATTAAAAAATTATGTGATTATCGTCCGCATGTTCATTGCGTTTTACTTTTATATACACTCGTATGTACAAGTGAAGTCGTGATACTTTAGTAAATGTAAATACGTCCGTGAAAGATTGTTGTGTGTGACATCTTAACTGGTCTGTTTGTAGTGCGTTTTGCTTTGTAATCGATTTTATGTTGATTTATGTCAAAATTGTTGGTGTCCAATTGCATTTGTAAGAAATGTCTTGTAACACGACTCCAAGCTTTATATTGCAGCGATAACTTATGTTTATGGGCCCCATTTTCTAGCGGCATGTTGCGGCCTCAGCGAGCATACAATCGGGGCCCAATTACGGTTGATTCCCGATCGTATTTCCCGTATCGATACAGATCCTGTAGCCGTAAAGGACATCTAAATGATTTCCAATAGCAGGAATAACATAAAATTGTTGCATCATCAGTAGTTTACTTTAAAATAATATTTTTGCTAATAAATACTACTTATGGGAATAATAAATTAAAGATAGAAATAGATCGTCCTTCACTGGCGTGCAATGAGGTGTTGCGCTGTTTAATGAGGATACAGGGGGGCCATAATTCGGGCAACGGGCGTCGTCGGTGAGTGAGGTGTCGATGAGAACGGTGCCGCCGGGATGATGTCACCGGTCGTCGGCCGCCGCTGGAGGCTGCGCGTCCCTGTGTGCGTGCGCGCATGTGCTCACGCGTCCGCTCGCGCGTGTGCGTGCGTCGGCGCCAGCGATGGCCGCGCGCTATCTAAATCGCCGTTTTGTCTTCGCGGATAAATATGACGCCTAATTACTCTTGTCAGCCTTTGGCACATGTCCGTATTTCTCTGCAGTGTTATTGTTATTTAACATAAACATTCTGCCGGTTCGAGCTATTTAAAGCGCTGTCCGCCGTCGTAACAATGAACTGTGGCAAATAATAAAGTATATTTAGTTCGACAATTATTTTATAAGTACGTAGTACGAAGGGAAATAATTGTTAGATTGTTCCTCACAATTCCGGAGGGTCCTTCACAAGGCGCGAGCTAAGGGGCCGAAACACATTCATCCCTGCCGGGAAGACACAACACGCGGTGTTTTATCGGCATTGTTTGAGTTGCACGAAGCGCGGGGGGTACACAGTTCGGGGAGGTGCAGGAGGGGGGGGGGGGGGGGGGTCTTGTTGCAGCCTGCGTTCACGCACGCGGCGGCTCAGCGGCCATTTTGGATTGATATCGCCCGCAAGGCGGCCCCCGACAGCTTTCGTTATTTCGCAACGCTATAAATGACATTATGTTACGCAGGTAGCTCGAGCCGCTTTTGTTGAGTCATCGAACGCTTTACAACGGCGCTGAGGCATTTTCGCCAGTTTATTTAAAGGCTTACCTGGCTAGATAGCGTTGCACTACAATCGCAACAAAACCAACAGGCCAGATTTCAAGCGCTTTTAACAAGCGCGCCACGTCATTCATCATTCATGTGAGTGATACCAAGTCTTGATTGAATATTTTACTTAAAAGTAGGGGGAACAATATTATGATTTGAAATCACGGCATATTTCATTTGTTTAAAATTTTATTATATATATATATAAGGTAAAATTCTGTTCATATTCCTAGTATCGTAGTTTGGAATGGTTTTTACAATGCATTGAACTGAGGCACCATTCTTACTGGTGAATACTAAATCATTACATATTTGGATTAGATTTGAAATAAGCAGAAATATAATATTAAAATTAGTACTTACCTAAAAAAAGGAACGAAGCGGCGAAAAGCTTTTCGTTCCTTTTTTATACAAATTTTAATGTTTAATCTAAGTGCGAAGATTAGCACTATGAAAATTTAATTTCATAAATGTAATATGCTATGTACAATGTACAGTACGATAGGTAGCTTACAGGCTTTCTCTTTTAATTTGTTTTTTTTTTAGTTACAGTTTTTTATATCCGCGTTTAGATGTTATATCGTGGTTGATATAATACAATTTTGCCTTGTAGTTAATATCTTAAGACCAAATATTTTTCCACAACCAGTCTTATCAAATTAACTTGGTGCGGAAGACTGTCAAAATGATCAGTTTTGTCTTCAAAATAATTAGTACTCCAAGAAATTGTTTTAATTACAATGGAATATGGATACTTTTTTACATAAATAATAGGCGTCACTATCCGATTATCGTACTTACGTATTTGGTATTCGGTAGAATAGGATAAAAGTTGCCGAATGCCGAATAGTAGGCGGATATTCGTATCAAGTTCACTAAAACACACTTTCTCTTACACCCTACAAGGAGGCTTTAAACTTTACAGAACACAGAAAGCATTAAACCTTTATTGAAAACAATAATACAACATGTTTTACTTTTTAAGTTCAGTAAAAAACGATCATAAAATACTGTTCAAAATGATTTCCCCGTCTCTAAGCTACAGGCTCGTTTGATAAACGAGAATTCCGAAAAAAGAAAGTTAAATCGTAAATCTTTTAAATCAGTGTAATGAGTTAAAGTTCTAAGCTGCGTTAATACGGTTTTGCGTTACGTGTTATCAAATTCAACGCTGCAGGTACACTTGGGGACCATATTAATTACTCTCCCTTTCATTTCCGGTAATATTGAGCGCGGTTGTAAATGATTACCCTGATTCAGAATCGTAGGTGCTGTATAAGGTACAACGTCTGCGTGAACGATATTTCATCCCGTAACGAATGAGATCCGTATCAATTAAAATCTCGCAGCCCGCTGAGGCTGGAGTTACGCAGACGCAGAAGTGGTCTGGCTTGGAGCGCACAAGTGGGGGGAGTGGCGTCGCGCTGATGTTTGCTCACGCATAATGCCATCAGGAAATTGGATACGGCGACCTGCGAATGTCGAGGCAAAGGTCCTTGCTTTAAGGCGAACGGTAAGATGTTAACTCTGCACTCGATTTGTCAAATTTTTGTAGATATATGAACAAAAGTTATCATTATGTGCTTTATTTTAGGATCATTGAATTCGAGGTAGCTTTTTGCTATAAATTCAATAGAAACAAAGTGTCGATTCAATAGAAACAAATCGGTTAGCTTAGTGGCTAGAAAGGTTTGAAGGTTCGAATCCTAACAGCAGCGAAACATTTTGTAATAGTTTTATCTACACATTTTTATGTTTCGTCAATGCAGCTGAAACAGTCAAATTTATGTTAGAATGGATCATCATTTGCATTAACAACAATGTTATATAATTTAAGTTACATTGCATTAAACCAAGTATAAGTATCGATCAGGCCCTACCACAATAAAATATATACCAGTATATCCGGTAACAGGGGGATCGATCTTTCTTTCTCTTTTCGTAGGGGTCGATACCGAAAAAGGTAACCACAAATACCATGTTTTACCGGATCGACATCGTTTGGTTTCCGGTTGCCCATCATTGATACCGGATCTGTGGCAGGAGTGGCCCCTGCCCCTGCGTCCGCATTAGCCGGGCCAGGGGCCAGCGCGACACTCAATCGCCGCGTACGCGATTCGGAAGTGATTCGATTGGACAAATTGACAGAATGAATAAGTATAAAGAGATACTTCTAGTTTAAATAAAGACGTGGTGGCTCGCGTTCAAATTGTCTATTTTGACAATTTGAAAGCGAGCCATGAGTTCAAATCGCGGTTTACCTGTTAGGTGGTAAAGGGAAGCAACTCGAATGCAACTTGCACATCGAACAATTGTTTGAAATAATATGAATGAGTAGTTGTGTATATACCTATGTATGTATATTTATACTGTAAACTCATTCTACATGGATTGTAACAAAATAAATAATCAAAACTTTATTATATTTCGGCTCAAGTCTATAACAATGGAACTTCAAACAAGAGTTTGTTTTTTATCCTAGGTATGGTAAAGCGAAACGTTGGAAATTCATAAATAAATGAAATGCGATTTTAGCATACAAAATCTATAGTTTTGTCCATACAAATAAAAACGTCGTTGATATAAAAAATATGCCAATTTTTACCAGTGGTAGACTTTGCCTCTTACCAAAGAGACATTCTTTGGTAAGAGGCCTTTGCCCAGATTATTGAGAAAGGTGTGTTCACGTACATTTGTTTGAACTTAAATTAATTCGATTGCTTAATGGCTCTTATGGTTGGAACTCTCCGAACGTATTATATTTTTATAGATTTTTACGGTTATGATAAAAAACAAAAGAAGAGAAACTGAAGATGATATTTTTTTGATGATGATATTTTTAAAACAAAAAGGTTTGCTCCAACTAATTCACGAAAATAAGTAAACCAAGGAGGTTTTATGGTTGTATGTACCAAGCACAATATTTTTTTCATCGCGTATCGTTGTTTTTATGGCCGTACAAAATTTACCAGGCTCAAAATCATGTTGCTGTATAATAACTGTAAGTGATAAGTACGTGCGGAATAATTGAATAACAAAAAGAAAGTACTCCTAAAGTGCCTTCATGTTTTACTCATAAAAATTTGATTTCAGACAAAAATAGAATTACAAAATTTAGAGCGATTGTTAACAATGTTTCTGTCATGAATCAATAAAATCCTATGTAATAAGTTAACCATAATATGTGAGAATTGCGCCGTGCAGCGGCCAAACTCGTTGCCTGACTTATATCCCCGGTGCACTGTAATAAGGGTCACCACCTGTCCACATTTGGATGTAGTATTTTGGTAACCCAACAGTGGTAGGGTTCGTTCGTAGTCTCGGCGTTCGCCAAACATTCGAGTTCCTAAAGCGTCTTGAACGCAGCATTAGAGCGAAATGATCCGGACAAAAGGATTGAATTCCCGCGTCAGGCCTCTATGCAAGAAACAGTGCCGAGTGTCGAGTGTCGAGTGGCGAGTGGCGAGTGGCGAGTGTCGAGTGGCGAGTGGCGAGGCGACTAACGGCACAGACCGGTCCCCGCAGCCTCCTCCCGACGCCGCGGACTAACCGCACAACGGCCGCACCAGGTACTCACGATCGCTCCACTTCAAAACAGTTACAAATACTTAACTCAGTCACTCAGACGGGTTGGTCCTTGCACACCGATTGCACAATCCAACATCTACACACTTTTTATGTGACAAAGTGGCAAACGAGCTGGCGGTTCACCTGATGTTAAGTGATAACCGGTGCCCATGGATATTTGCAACGTCCGAAGGGTTGCAGATGCGTGTACCTGTCGTGGTACTTACCCGGACGGACCTGCCCATTCGTGCAACAGCGAACACGCAACAGTGTCCGCTGTTGCTAATATCCTACCACAGTTTTACCCAGGTACTTGTTTAAGCGAGATAAAGTTAGGCAACGGCTTCAACTGTAGTAGGCTGGTCCGGGGGAGTACGGCGGCCTTGTCGACGAGCGACGGAAATTAGAAGTATTTGCATTTTGCCTAAAGCTTGAGGTAACTGGGACCCACTCAGTGGAAGGTCGCCACCACAGCTGTAGCTGAACATGGGAGTTGTATCCCATCGCAGACTGTAATCACCCAACATCAGGATAACTGTTTGCAAGATTGACGTCTTTCCATTCAACTTTCTAAAAGGTCCACCCTCCAATATAATCTACTTGCGTCGACTTGCTTGCCGACTCTTTAAAGACTTTCGCAACAATGCTCTCTCTGCGTAAGGAGTCGCGAAACGATTCAACACAATTAGCTCCTAATGGATTCAACGTAAATATTCAATATCGCCCGCGCTCAAGTTGGATCGCTCTCGGGGCAGGCCCCGGGAACAATTAACTAAATTGATACTTACACAAAGCCGTGAAGTTTGTTATGTTTCAACGGGACCCGCTGCGGGGAACAATAAACTCCTTTGTGACGGATCTAATGGAGCGTTAGGTTTACAACGTATCGGTTTTTAACGGGGGCTCGCTTAGAGAGGTGAGGCAACGTTCGAGGCGCCTTTATGTTCGCCGAGTCATTACGTATTCAAGGGAGCGTTACCCGCCGACTGGTAACACGCTTCCTGGAACCCTCATCGGCATTCTCGTGGGGCCAAGACCTCTCAGCGTGGTCCCGTAGAGAATGATAGCAGCTGCTCGCGCCCACTACGAAGCCAACCGCCGCTCCATTGTTTACGAGATTCATTCAAATCTCCTTTGCGCTCGCGTATCGGTGCCCCCGTTAATTGCCCTAATTGCGTTAACGAAGGATCTCTACGGAGTACCTACCGTACAAATTAGCTGAGCTGCAGTCGGTGCGCCGCGGATGTGTGTTTTGGCGGACCACGAATAGGGCAACACGTTAAGCTAATAACCACAACGGTTGAAACGGTTATTTTAGTGTTGTCAAAGAACTTTAGAATGTGTTTGTTTGTATGCACTTTGTATTTAATTAATTGTTATACCTATAAATAAATAGTTAACGTTTAATGCACATTTAGAAATATAACAAAAAAAGCATCTAAAATGTTAGGATTTATCCTAAGAAATTGTCATTCCTTTCGCAATTCCAAAACTAAATTATTGCTTTACAATAGCCTAGTCCGAAGTATCCTTGAATACTGTAGTGTAGTCTGGCGGCCTCATTACGCTACGCACTCATTACGTATAGAAAGAGTTCAAAAACGGTTTATGTGGCATATGGCGCTTTCTGAGGGCAAGTCAAGAGAACTACGATCTTATGAAGAAAGACTTAATTATTTCAAGGTAAACTCCTTATCTCATAGAAGAGAAGTGCTTGATGTCAAGTTTATGAGTAAACTTTTAAATAACAGAATTGATAGCCCACAACTATTGAATTTGCTTAAATTTCGAGTACCTATAAGAATCCCTCGCAAACCTATTACACCACTTTGTCCACCACTAAGAAGAACATTGCTGGGAACTAATTCCCCTTTTATTAAACTTTGCAAAATAATTAATGTTTTTAGCGATCAAATAGATTTTCATGTTGACTCAATAGCCAAAGTCTCTAAAATAATGTATACCTTACTTTCTAATATTTGAATATACATTTACCTTATGTAATAAACATACCGAGCAAGCCATAATTTATTTTACAGCTGTTTATTTTAAGCCATATTTTTATTTATTTTTTTACTATTTCATTATTTATTGCTGTGCTTATCTTCAAGTTATTGTTACACTTATACATGTTGTACTTATTGTTTCTTTTTTTTATTATTAAGATATAGTGTAAACAGTTGTTGATAGGCTTTTTAAAAATAAAATAAAATAAAATACACACATTTCCCACCCACGGGACCAGCGCCGAATGCTTACGCCATAAATACTCGTTCACCGCGTTGTTTACAATTCAAATTAGCTATATAATTGAATAACAACAATGGCTCTGATTGATTATAAATAATAAAGAAAAACAAAATGTTTACCATTTTTTAGGAAAAGAAATTAGTCAACCTAGATGTCGTACGTCAAATTATTTTCTTTACAATGTACAAAGATTGTATTACATTGTTTGAAGTCCTTGAAAATAAATTAGTTGGTTTAATATTTTACCTAAAACAGAAAATGTAATCCCATTAATGCTTGTTTTTGTCATTTTCTATGCCTTAAGCTGAAGCGAAAAACATTATTAAACTTAATATATTTCGTATATCTTAAAATTTGGACTTTTTTCAAGTGGATAAGTTTTTTAACACAAACAGAATACAAATTCCCTTATGATGACATAGGGGAATTTTTATACTGTTTGTGTATCTCCGAATATTTTCTTCACTTTATTTACAGTCTAAGTAAACTTTATTAAGATCCGAGAACAGAAATAGCGGGAATCTCACAAAGTGATGCGTAGTTTCATAGTCAGAGTCATTTAGAGTCTCATCTCATTTCAGGGCCGACTGCGGCGTTAAGCGATATTAAAAGAGCACAAAGCGGGGCGCTTCTCTTTAAGCGCCCTCCGACTGGGAATTTATCATCATCCGAATGGCATTGATGCTCTATTCTGTCCACTTGTCAATGTTTCAAGTCGATTAATTAAAAGAAAAATGCAGTACAACTTCTTCACAATTTTTTGCTTTTAGTGGGATTTCGCTGGAGGCACAGGATGCTATCAAAGAAAGACCGACATTAACGAGCGTAAAACAAGTGGCCTTGTTTTACCCTCGAACTTAACTTGCAAGAAGAAACGTTAAAAGCCACATCACTAATCAACCCCAAATATAAGTACCTACCAGTTACTTATGGCACAGAAATTATCGTACATACCCCACGGAAATACTTCACGTATTTCTATTTACCTCGGAATTTCATAATATTCCTCGCGTTAGAAATGAAAGAACGCAAGGCCCGCTATTACCGTCATACCACATCAAAACTTAATAATTAAATAACGTGTAATTATATTCGGCAGCGTGATATAATTAAGTCTGTAAACTAAATTAACATAAAAACGCCTCATATGTTTGTGGCACGCGATACGCTGATCGCTGCCTTTGTTACGCTAGATTTATTCAGCCCGTTAGAAAGGTTTACTTCTTCCATGCGAATGCGAACATGGTTTTTGCGCTGGCGTTTGCCGACGACACACGCCGAGAGTCGATCTCACCCGGTGGCGACGTGCGTCGTTCTCGACTAATGAGCCGCAAACAATAAATAATCCCACTCGTATGTGTTGTTCTGGTCACGATTAGTACTGATACCGTTCCCGTCTAGCTAGTAGCTACACGCTTTTTAAATACAGTTCTCTCATTAATGTCAGCTACTAAATTTAGAGTTTGTTATACTGTCCATAAAATTGTAAGTGTCAATAAAAACATCTTAAGCCTGTATTAGATTGCGGTGATGATGTATATTAGTAAAAATAATCTGTTTCTGTTCAAAAAGCTTTGGAGAGTAATGAGAAACAGAAAAGTTTTTCTTTACGTTTACCATACACTAATATTCATAAACATATGTATGTATACAGCTTTCGTTATAGGTCATAGAGCTCTTACGAAAGGAAGATTTAATCTTATTCAAAGATGTAATCAAAATATACGAACGTACCGCTGTCTGGGAAACTAGTTCCCATCTCATTTAATCTAAAGCGATCAGCTTAATAAAAGTCGTGGCAACGTCTAGTCGTCGTAACGTCAGCGCTTAATACGTGCACCCATCGAAGGACAGATGTCGAGGCCCGCCGAGATGCCATTGGCTGCCCAGAGGAGGCCGCAAATTGGGCGTGGGGCCGGCAGCGCTCTTCGTACGCACCCAGCAATTAGGTAATGGGGCCCAATTAGCGAACAGCTGGTGGCGGTGGACTCTCCCGCGGGGGCCAAGGGTCGCGGCGCTCTCTCACGGGGAGAATTGCAATCGTTCCTGTACAGACTCATGTTACCACTTTGTATGAAGTGTAATAACACTTCATACAAAGTGGTAACACACGTTTATATAATTTTACAAATATACATACTGTTCACACACAAACTTTGAAATTGCGAATTACTCTTCGAAATCGTAGAGTTCTTCTAAAAAGAAAGAAGGAATGTTTCCATAATTTAATGTACCTTTTAAATCTTCCAAAAATATGCGCTTCAAGTAGGCTAATATGATGATAATTTTTTCTAAGTGTTTGCAATAAATGGAAACTGCAACACTATTATTAAAAGTATTTTTTCAGTCTATTTAAATAATTATCTTGAAAATTAACAAAGAAAAATCCAGTTAGTAATAAATTTTTCAAAAACGTCAAATCGACATATTTCACCCCTGCTGCCCCTGTTATGAATCACAGTCGAGAATTTTCGTAGAGGCAATTTTTGGGCGTCTCATTGAAACGAGGCTATTCACGAAGATTCAGCTTTTGATCGTAGGACCAGGATGTCGTATCACGCAATTTGTAGGACAAGGTGGGTGTTAAATTATATAAATATTAACTGACCAATAGAAAAAAAAATCAGCTTCATCATACACGTTGGAGAGGCGCTTTGATAAAACTTTGAATTTTTTAGGACAAATATTTTTTCGGTTTATTTAGATAATAACCTTGGGAATTGATAAAGAAAAATTCATTTAGTAATAAATTTTTGAAATTTGTCAAATCAATATATTTCACCTCTGCTAACCCTGTTAGCTACCGTTTACTAAAATTGTTGTAAGGAAAAAGTTGGGCGTCTCGTTAAAATGAAGCTACTCCCAAAAAATCTGCTTGTTAGCAACAAATGGTGAAAATGGGCCTGAGATCCCGGACTATATAGGCTACCTTGTGTCTATCGACGTTGTTGATTCAACGAGCTATGGCCCGAGTGCATTCGCAATCTTTCGAGACATCGTAGTCCAACGTTAATGGGCCTACAATATACGCTCAATAGGAAGCTTCCATTGTTCGGAACGACGTACGTAAAGCGGAGCGAGGAAATCTAATCAGATGGGAAAGTCTAGCATCGGGTCGTGGCTCGGAGCTATTTCGCGATGCATCCATCTCTCGTGTGATTTGATCTGTATTGGGTTTTCTTCGAATGTCATTAAGTGCTAAGCGGTATTGAATGTGGCATATCTGTAATAGCGTTCATTTTTACAATAGTACCCAGCATTGATGTCAAGTGCCGATTTCTAATAGGAAGCAATTTGTATATAAATTGTAACCTTGAAACGATCCAATTCTGCGATGAGTCACGAGATGAGCTTTGCATTCAGCTTCTGTCGACGGTCCACTCGAGAAATTGGGCGCTCACATAATATCATTTGAATTCAGTAGTTTCGCTTTGTTTCCGAAACACTATGAATCAGTGGCACCTGCATTTCGTGCGTTCCGAGCACATTGTTCGGAATAATAATCACATGGCGCTATTTTAATTACACCGAATTGTTTTCGGAGAGTCTAAACTATTAAAATAAAAGATGTTTTAGATCTTGTTGAACGTGAATGATTATAATAATTTAGAAATTTTAATAGTATATTCATTCAGTGTTCAAGATGCGCGTATGGAGATCTTAAGACGAATGAGTTTCCCGTTTCGTAATATCTCTTCTTTATGTCACTTTATGGCATAATAATGTATGTACCCAATAATTGTCGAAATATACGAGACTATTCATATCTACGGCACCGTTGAAAGCTCCCGCTATAAAGAGGGCGACACGTCGCTTTGTATGCGAGGCAGAGTCGCGAGGTGTGACTTGTCAGGACTTGACTCACCGGAGATCGGGCGGGTGACGTCACGCGCGAGACACGGCGCGCTCTCTAGTCCCTGTCGGGGCGCCGCCGGCCGACTTTACTTACCTACGCACTGGCCAGATAACGATAAGAGCGCTCGCCCGAGCCGTATTCGGCCCCCGATATCGCCCATTTAGGTGCTCCTCGGTGTCAATGGATTATTCATTGCGTTATTTAAGCGACAGGGCAACAGGCTATTTCGTAACGTAACTTGGAAACTATAGTTACGTTTGCGTTCTGAATCACGTCTATAATGGAGGTATCGAACTTTGGTATTTGTGAGAGAATGCTTCACTTGAATGAACTTATGAGTCGACGATGACTATAATGATCGAGTAAAAGTAGCTTTTGCAGTGGCCGAGTATGGGCTATGGAGGAGGCAAGTGGCGGGTCGCCTGAGCGCTCACCATTAGCGTGTTACTTTACTCGTTCTTTTTACGCAGATTTTGTTTAAAATTCGCATTCGCCTTTTTAGCGCAACTGGCTAAATGGCGTCGTAAACATTCGGCGCAGTGTCCGCGATAACGCTGTTTATGTGGAATGAAGAAAAAACAACAACTGACCAATGTAAAGGACGTTTGCCAAACTTTTTATTATTATCAATAAAGTAACGATACAAAAGTGGGTGCACGGTTCGCCTTCGTATTGGGTACGGTTCAATTGAATTTGAGCCACATCGTCCTTGGAAACTGAATGGGTCCTATACCTAGCGAAGAGTATTTAGGGAAGCACTCTTCGCCCACGTATAGCCTAATGCGCACTTTCACGGGCGATCATTCTAAGGATAAGGTTTGAACCTTGTCAATCTGCATCCCATAGGTGCAATGTAGTTGGAAGTCATTACGAGGGCGAATTTAATGCCGAGCAGAGCTATTGGCGCCGCTCGAGGCCCGGCCGTCGATTGTTCGTTAAATTTTATCGCAATCATTATACCGTTACGGCGAACGGTAAATTTACATTTTCAACCGTATACAGAAGTTTACTTCAAAAACTTTGGCAGGATAAGCGGCATAAATAACGCTTTATCTGGTTAAGCCGTTGAATTCGGTTAAATTCGGGCGAATTTCGCCAACGCGCTGGTATTTTGGAACACGCTATTTGCACGATGCGTCGCTCCGGTGAGGGCGGTTAAACGCTTTTAACGGCGACTTTCACGTTCAATTTGTTCCATTTCCGTAGTATACGAATTTCGTTATTATTCTTAATACGGCAAGGACAGTTAATCGCTCCACGTTGGTAATAAAAGAGCGCTGGATGAATTAAGCTTGCGTTCGGCGAACGCGGCCATGCCGGCAAAGGTACATCGTTTATCTCAAATGTTTTCCCTTGGAAAGCTTCGACGGCCGAAAAGGCTCATCGTATTAGTGATAACAGGAAAATCCCCATCAGCCTATTTTCCCGCACAATTTTCCCCAGTCGCTGGAAAAACACGCCGCCGCCCGGAGAGCGCTTTCATTAAAATCTAATTGGGTGTCGGTTTTGTTATGGACTGAATTTATTTCCTGTTGATCGTGAACCTTAATCTGCTCTCGTTTTGGTGTTAGGGCGAGACTCCTTCCTCCTTCCGCAAACTGTTATGTCTCTTAATAGAGAATACTCAGTTCCCGGATCTAACCTATAGAGTATACTGTATTTTTTTATGGAAAAAGAGACAAACGAGCAGACGAGACACCTGGTGCTAAGTGTTCTCCGCACACTCGGACACTCGCAACACCAGAGGAGTCACAAACGCGTTGCCGGCTTTTGAGGAAGGATTAGGCTCTCTTGTTTAAGGTCCCAAGGCGTATCGTAAGAATTAAGACATACAATTGTTGTCCAAATAAGCTACAGTGAAAAGTACACTCGATTGCTTTAAATCTTCAAACAGTTTATCAGCCTATCGATCCCAAAGCTTCACGCATTGAAGATTTGCATTCCATTTAATTTATAAATAAATTTCCGTGCCCCACAATGAGGCAAACATATCGGTGGGGTATTTGCATAAACACTTGTACGACGTTTATAAACCGGTGACGTCGAAAACCGTTGTATGTTTTAGTGGTGGTTGTTCGTGCGTTGTGCGCGAATTGTGAATCCAATTGAAACGTCCGATTTCACATAACAAATCGGTTAACAACAGAAATAGAACCAACTTCTATTTTTACGTTCAATTTCAATGTTCCAAAGTTACACAACTGGAAGCAAATATTTGATTTCGCGGACTTCCAATTATCGTTTTTATAACACTTTCTGATGTATATAGCAGGTCCATTATTAATTCATTAGAATTTGTATAACCCTGATAAATTTAAAGGAATACTAGACTGTCACTTGTAAATGTAGTTACTAAAACTCAAGTGTTCATATCCCTTTAGTCTTACGATATTTGTAAGCCCTTCACAAAGTTTCATATAAACGCAACCGTGACTTAGCCACATCATTTTTCGTTACCTTGCAATATTCTTGACACAAATAAAAATTACACGGAAAATTGAATCATCACTCTTATCGAATGAAATGATAAATTTGTCATAACAAAGCAGCATACCTTGTTACGTTTTCTTTAAGGGGCTTCATAAGTACTACCTACTATAAAACGATTCTGTAACGAATCATCACTTCTTTTTAAAATTGCACACGATATACTCTTTATACAATGATAACAAAAAACTCGGGGAAGATACTCTTACAAAACAATTTGGTTGTTTTTGGTACTGCATTATGTTTAGGGCAAACGTAGTTGCAAGGGCTATACAAATAAAATTAGATACTACTTAAAACTACGGAAGACGGTCGTGGCGTTAGCAGAAATACGAGGCAATATGTTGTCATGTCGTAACTTATGTCACCTTATACCGTTGGGCCTTAAGCCGTTACGATAGCCGGTGAAGTATTGGCGGATCCTGTCGTAAATTTGACACCTTTACAAAGCCCACAACTTACGTGTCGGCGCTAAAGCGATTTTGCTGACAGTGCGTATTTTATTTTTATTACATTATGGTACGCCTTTTAATTTAATGTACTCGAACAATCTGAGTTCGAATCCGTTGCCGGCACAAATGAAATTGTTAAATTGTTGATTTTATGTGCTGACTTATCACGTGCTCAGTGGTGAAGGAAAGCATCGTGAGGAAACCTGCATATTTTCGAAATAATAGTAAAAAAAATATTTCGATGATATGTGAAGTCCGCCAAGCCGCAGTGGGGCCGTGGTGGACTGTGGCCTAATAATCTCTGTATAGAGGAGGCCTTTGCCCAACAGTGAGACATATTTCATAGGCTTTTGCTTTTAGTTTAGGCTGTTTAGTACACATTCGTTTTTTTTTTTAAAACTTTACATAAACTTAAAATCAATATCATTTTACAGACCATAATATATAGTAAACTTGGTTTCATCCAATTCAACTGCAGCTATATTATACATACAGCATTTTATCGCACACATCTTCAATATCAACTTAAAGAATAAGTTGATATAACTTTTTGGTTTATGAACCGACATAAACAAAACTAACACTAAATGTTAAGTGAAGCTTACTACTGTGCATTAGTGATAGTTGCATGCAAATCGATTAAGTTTGTTTCTCAGATTAGCGCGCAAAAACGCACAGACAAACAATCATTGTTTTGGCTTCTACTAATATAATAGTTTTTTTTAAATATCTCCCATGAACAGACAACGATCAGTTACATTTTTATTTTATGTGTAGATTTCTAAGAAATCCTCCATTATGTTAATACAAGAACACAATTCGCCTACCATATTTACTCATTTTATTGTCAACATTCTCATATAGCAAACCTATACTATTAATATTTGAAATTGCAGTGTATAAAATCTTTCAGTGTTTATACATTCTTTTTTTATTTTTTCGTTAATTAAGTAATTCATAAAAATGTTTGCATTAAGGTTGCATTTATATTTTTCATAAATACTGCAATGTTAGTTGGAACGAATTGTATACAGTTAAAAAACTTTCTTTGTTTTTTTTTTTTTTTTTTTTTTGGGGGGGGGGGGGGGGGGGGGGGGGGGGGGGGGGGGGGGGGGGGGCGGTGGGGGGGGGGTAGATTATTATTAAGTTAAAGATTTTTATTGAAATTTTATATTTAATACTTGAAAAGGAATCCTTAACTTCATGATTCCATGTAGTTTGTTTAGTTTCTATCAGGACATTATATGCAAATGTTACGAAAAACCCAATTAAGTTTATATTGACAAAGCTGCCATTAGTTTTTTGTGTGAGAGTAATTAATAGTCGACAGGCCGCGTCAGACAATGAGTCAAATGTTGAAGTAATTTTTCAGCGAATGGAGTTTTTGTACTAGAGTGATTGATTGGGCTGTTCGATGAATAAAAAGCCGATACATCAATTTGAAAATACAAAATGTGCAATTTGTGTGGTATGCATTGTATTGTAGTAGTGTGCTAACGTACGAATCATGATACATACCAATACTACCCACAAAACGAGAACTTGTTATTTTAGCCGAAATTGATGGTTGCAATTTATTTTTCTTAAAACCTATATTCAAGCATGTCCAAAGTTTTAAAGCTCACAGTTAGACTTTTAAAGTAACGCTGAACTTTTGGGTTCGATATAAGTACGGTTCGTTTTGAGCTTACATAGCCACTTTCAATTATAATATTCTTAAATAACATGAACTTTCGTCACATACTTTGTTCTTTTCGTCTTTTAGGTCGAATTAAAATATTGATGTAAAGGGGGTAGATATGCAAATCTTTACTTATTTCGGTTTAAGAATAAACACCGAAGAGTAATGTAACAATCCTGCAAACTTGAACACAAGCATCGAATAAAGTTTGCACTTCCGTCCTAGGTACACGTAAAGCTCTATCGATTTCAAGGCACGTTAGTATTTAAGGAACTTTTTCGGGTGCTTGCTAGGAATCCGAGAGATGCGCTGACGGCCTACGGTCCGTATGGCCTGGGGCTCACCTGTTGAGAGGTCACTGCGGTGCAGGCGGGCAGGGGTGGTCCGAGCCGGCCAGGGCTCGAGGCAACGGCACGGGCACAGGCACAGGTCGCGCACGGCGTGGCCAAGGCGGGCCCCGTCACTCGCACTGAGCACAACTACACTCGGAGCACTCGCGACGTTTACGCGTATACGTTACGGTGCGATGCGGAAAACGTGTTGTACGTCTCGCGGCCGGCGGCTTACTGACTCGTGCGGGCGACGGCGGGGGGGCGCGGTGTGTGCGCGCGGCGGGAGGGGGCGGCTCACTGCTCGCCCTACAAAATCGGTTCCCGCCGAGGCGCGTAGGCCGCGGTGCAGCCTCGTGAAAGGCGAATTGCAGCAACGGCATGCGAGCAAGGGGCCAGGTAGCGGCGGCCGACCGGTCCCTCGAGTTATCGACAGCCGCTCTTGCGTTGCACACCCGGACCCAAAAAACAGCCTTATTGCGCGCATCTCTTTCTAAATCCCTCCGCCGAAGGTGGGCGGAGATGGGCCTAAGTTTTAGATCTTTATCAAATTAGTCGACCGAAAACGGGCGAACGCCCGTGTGGGCGACGGAATGCTTCATGCGTCTCCGATGGTTAATTTAACGACCAATTTTGTCAACGTAATGTTGTTACTCACGGGTATTGTTGTACCTTCAGTGAAGGGAATTAACCGGCGGAAGGTTTTATCGACTAAATTAACGGGGCGTTGATGTCTTTCCCCGACAATTCGCATTTATGTTTTAAGCTCGCCGAGTTAAAGGCTTGGCTCGGTGACCTTTATGCTTCTTCTCAACAACCTACCTCTCGATTTCATTAATAAAATTGGGCCATACGAATAATTTATAGTACTTTCTAGTACTTAGGATGTAATATGTAAACATAACAAAAACACAAATCTCCATAAATTGTTATTTGATATGATAATATAGTACATAAATATGGTTTCCATTCAAATTAAGAGAAATAAGAAATTATTGTTTTGCGTTTTGTTTATAACCCTTTAAATGCGTTCATTTGAAATTAGCTCACGAAACAAATTCCCCATTGAAAAGATCTCCCGTAGCGAAGAACCCCATTTCATCAGACGGGGTCCACGGGGCCCCCTGCGCGCCTCTTCAATTGAATCCATGTCCAACAGCTGTCCGCCGACACTGCATACTGTTATTCTTTTCAGTTTTATAAACTTTTTCTCGTACTTAATTTATTATTTTTTACTACCTATTTATATATAATCCGTGAAATGTTATTACCGACAACTAAAACCAGGAATAATAACATTGCTCATAAATATAAGCACCGATAATAATGAATTGAATATAATCTGCATGATGTCAAATGACTTAACTCTGTGTAGTTTTCTAAGGTTGATTGATGTTTAGAATAAATCAATTCGACCATTTCTTTTTCTCCTTCATGCATTATGATCTAACAATCAGTAAAATAATGGAAAAGTATAAACTATGGCTGTGGGTGTCATAGCCAACAGAACCGCCATGAAGCTGGAGTAAGTCGCAGGTTTGAGTCCTAAAGGTCCATTGAGTTTTCCGTTCATAGAATTTGTTTAGCAACATTTCATAAACTTAGTAGCAAGTTCTCTTCAAGCACTAATCAAGTGAACTTTGGTAGAGTAATAAAAAAATTTAATTTAAATTAAATAAATAATAAGTGATGCGTAGCATATCCGTATGAGTAGACGTGTGAGTCGCGTGCATAACGTTATTAAAACTCCTTTACAGCGTCGATAGGATTAGGTATCGATCCCCTATCTATCAGGCAGTCGAGTGGAGCACAAACACCGAAGGAATCGGGAGCGACTCACGGCCCACGCACTATCAGCAGATAACCAATTTCTTCGGCCGATAACGCACGATAGTGGTGCGTTGACACGTCGGCTTAATTGCCTCTTTCTTGGCTCAAATTAAGGCCATTTATTGCACGATCCTAATTCTGTTTGTCCAATTAAATATTCATATGATTACTATAAACTGTGGCTAAGTCTGTCTATGATGTCTATGACTATGACTAGAATTCAATACCAGTAGATCTCAAACAAATATTAGAAAATATCTTTCTTTACCTTTCTGTCGTACAAACATCGGACGACACTCACCCCTCTATCGAATTATATCGTCTTCTAATGCTATGGGATTCAACTTTGATGTGTTTTATGGTTCTTTAGCCTCTGCTAAAATACTGATTCGAGAGCTTTGTAGTAAAGTAAGCCAAAGCTAAATAAGTTAAATATCTTAATTTTAATTTACATCCTTTCTTAAGATCTTTACTTCTCTTTATATTTTTGTATTGAAGGTGTTTTAATTGTAGTTTTCAGTAGTTATAGAACGCCGTGTTCACTTTTTTAGAATGTGCATATATCTGTATTTCTATATTAATTTTAGTAACTAAGTTTTTATTAAATGTATCATTCAGTTTGTAAAAAAAAGAACATGTTATTCTGATCCAAGTTAGCTTTTTAAAATAGTGCAAGGTGGCATGTATACAAACGACGTTATGTCTTATGTTTTATTTTATAAAACTCTTCTTCTAATATAAAAATATCCCATATTTTGTGATTTTTGATGCCTCTGCATTGTGTAATCAAAAATCGACAAATTGCACACGACAAAATCTCAGATCCCATTTTCTGTCTGCATGTGAAACAAATATTACTTTTTCAATGATCAATGGGTGAGAACTGAACCGTTGACTCTGAACGCCAAAGCCTAGCGGGAGTTGCGCCTATCAGACCATCATTTCATCATCAAGATAATGTAGTAGTCCAGTATAAGCTGGAGATTGGCGGTTAATTTAAGGACGAGACCCTCCATTGGAATATTCAAATAATTAAATTAGATCTAACTTAAACTCAAAACTAAATAGTTTTGCTGTTTAATATAGCGTTATCTTGCCTTCAGGAAGAAGTTAACAACGTCACTTCCCTGCTGACTAAATGTTAACTGACGGATTCGAGGGGAGGTGTCGTTAAGATACAGAATTATATAGAAATCCTGAATAATTTAGCGATTTAAATTGTTCCCGTTAGGAGACTGCATTAATGGAGCCTTTAAACAGGTTCGAGATTAATGGATCATTTGGGTTTTATATACAAAATAACTTCAAATAGTCTCGCCGCCAATAGTATTTTTAGTGAACTAAACATTTGTGTAAACCATTAAAATTATAAAAATTCGTATCGTCGATCATCAAATCAGATAAGCAATATATACCTTTTATTTAAAAAGATTGTTGATTTTAAAGATTTTTTCAAGGTATTGCAACTTTTCTTCTGACTGTTGCAATACGACAGGTTTACGTAAAAAAATGTAATGTTACCTAATTGCTGTTACCAGGGGAAAAGCGTCAAATACTATTTGTAAACGACGGCATCGAATATATTGACATGATATTATAAGATTTGTTTAAAGTTAGCAGAACTTTAAATAGGAAGCCAATAAAGTACTGGAAAACAATACGAGAAAATAATAAACGCTTTGTTATTTTATCTATTATAAAAGCTTTATATGTCGAAGGTGGTGTGATGTTGAAAATCCTGAACTTATTAACTAAGACGTATGGCGTGTGGCGTGGGCGTGGGCGTGGGATAATCTACGGGCTACGTAAGGCTGGGCATAATAGGGGCCGTAAAACACGAGCGCGGAAGTTGGTAGTGGAAACATCGCGTGGCCTCCGACTACCGGACCAACTAGCGACGGCTAATACGAGCGTGCGGGCCTTTTCATTCATTTATTATTATTCGTTTCGACATGGAACGGCCGTAAATTGTTTATTAGAAAGCACTAGAACATTGAGCATTCTTACGCGTTATAACACTTATTTCATACGCGGATACGATCAAAACTGCGGTTTGTGTTTCTTCGAAATATTATCCAATCAGTTTTTAACTGACGAAAGTCTCTGCCACAGTGGTCTGCATAAAGCTCACAATTAAACATTGTAATATTTACAGAATACTTAATATCCCGATTAAATGAACGCGGCCTACGTGTGTACTGTGCATACGTCTTTAAAACAATTAGACAGACTTGACATTTGGAATTGTGAAGTGAGGGACGTAAATGGGGGGAGGCTTCGCGGCGCTCGTAAAGTTGTATTGGCGCGTCGTATTAAGCACGAAAGCGATAAACTCCTCGCGCAGACGGCTCCCCCAGAGGGCTTTAGATGTTTTTCTCTGGATGAATTACTCTATTTATACGGTTATCGGTACACGTTCGGCATGATCATAAATCCACCTCAGAACTTATTACTAGATGTCTTGAATTCTGCGGTACTAAATAACTTGCTAAATAAATAATTCTATACGGACGCACATGCCGTATTTGAAGTTTATATATATCGCCCTTTATTAATCACACCCAGCAACATAACTTACGTGATACAACGTAAAGCGGTATTTGTATATGGGCGAAACGAATTAGGCCCATCGCCTGAAAGCAAATTCGAGCGGCGATTCGTATGCCGCACGGATATCAAGCTCGGCGGGGAAATTAGCGCGCCATTGGCGACCCATTAGTCAGGCGCACGTGCGGTTGGGGCAAAATCGCCGCTGAAACGCTGAAAAGCTGCGGTATTTTAAATCTAAAAAGCGCTTTCAGTATCAACGTAGATATAACGGGATGTGAATAGTTGTATTCCAGTTTGGCGAGGGCTCTCCGCAACGAGCCATTACGCGTTGTCCTGGCCGCAGTTATGAAACGGAACAGCCAGTGTCAACAGTTTCGGTGGCTCGGCACGAAACAATTTCCACGCTCGCCCCGACGCCATTCGTTTAATAAACGGTGGCCACGGCGCTCTTTGAATATTACCACGACGCCGCGCAATATAACGGTAATGATATTTGCCAACGTTAAGGTGCTCCTTACGGCTGGTCACAATTTTTAATCTTACCTTATACTCCTAAAAGTTTATTAGCTTCGGTGTTGCAACAACTTTTGTATGTAAATCTTTTTATATTTCTTTCCGTATAATGGCATTATTAATAGATTGGCGAGAAAGTACGCGTTTTTTGTAATTATATCTTCCTACTTTTCGAATTGGCTTAAATACACTTCAGATAATAATCCTTATGATAGACAGCTCAGAATTGTTATCTACAAGTCTGAGCCCCGATTTAATAATAAACTCTCCAAGTCCGTAAAATCCTCGTATCATTTGTCTTAAAGAGAGCTACATAACCTAATGTATTACCTACATCATATACGTTTCATTAAGTATTCGATTTAAATATAAAACTATGTTAGGATCTTTTCACCAGTACATTCAGGTAACGAAAGAAAATACTTATACCACATATCTTAAATGGCAAGTAAAGTAATACCATAAAAATATCACTGTCTTAAAGCTTCTA